AATATTGTGTTGAAAATCAGACATCAATATCTGAGTCCAAAATTAATTCAGAAGAGTTGATCTATCAATTTAAAATTGTCTTGGGGGGCTGGGGATGTGGCTCAAGCGGTAGCGCACTTGCCTGGCAAGCATGCGGCCCCAGTTCGATCCTCAGCACCACATACAAAGATGTTGTGTCCGCTGAAAACTAAAAAAATAAATACATATTTTAAAAAAATTGTCTTGGGAATATTTTAATTTAGCTTCTTTTTAATGCTAAGTGCACAAAAATGATATAAAAAATTGTCCAACTTGTTGGCCAACTTAGTAAAACAAAAAAGGGTAGGGATGTAGCTCAGTGATATAGAGTACTCTGCCCAACATGTGCAAGGACCTGTGTTTAATTCCAAGTAGCACAAGATTGGGTTTGTGCTATTGCCCAGGCAGGTCTGAAGCCATCTTTCTTTTTTGGGAAGGGTACTGAGGATTGACACAGGGATGCTTTACCACTAAGCTATATCCCCAACCCCCCTTTTTTAATTTCTTATTTTCAATCAGGTTCTTACTAAGTTACTTAGGGCCTCAGTAAGTTGCTGAGGCTGGCCTTGCAAACCTCCTACTTCCCAAATAGCTGGGATTACAGGCATGTGCCACCATGCCTGGCTGAATCGATCCTCATTCTTCAGCCTCCTGAGACTGGGATTAAAGAAGTGCACCATTGTGCTTGGCTATTGTAAAAATTTTGAATACTTGTTGCTAGTATATAAAAATCCAATTCACTTTGGTACACTGGCCTTATATCCTAGGACCTTTGCTAAACTTAGTTCTAGTATTTCTGGTTACTGGCTCTAGTATTTTCTCTATATTCTGTAAACTCTCCTACAGACAATTATGTCATCTGCAAATAAAGACGTTTACTTCAGCACTTCTGAAGAAAACATTGAGTCTTTCACCATTGTGTTTACTTGTGTTGTTCACAGAGACCCTTTATCAGGCTGTTTCTCTTTATTTCTAGTTCACTTAGAATTCAATTATGGTGTGCTGTGGGGTAGTCTTTTATATCCTGCTCTGGATCAAGCTTTTTGGAACCCTGGTATTATTATACTTTTCATCACAACACAGGAAGTGAATACTAAGCAATGCAGGTGGACTCATGTGCCCACCATCCAATTCTTCAGAGAAGCATTCTTTCCTGTTCCATGATGATCCTATACCCAACCTGCCCTAACACTGAGTCCATCACTAAAAGGCAGGGTCAATCAGAGACCATCTTAGGTCTTTTCTGTTAATTGCACTTCTAAGTTAGTGTTAACAGAATAACACTACTCATATTCTCCCAGGAGTTATAGAGCAAACTGTCTGCAAAAAAAGACAGAATGAACATGAAAAGGACAGAGATGAGCTAGAGAAAGTCCTGAAGATACTGGGCTCTGGATCTAGCCATGTGGAAATAGCTCTATTCTTGGAGTTTTTAATTTTTTTTTTTTAAAGAGAGGGAGGGAGGGAGGGAGGGAGAGAGAGAGAGAGAGAGAGAGAGAGAGAGAGAGAGAGAGAGAAGAGAGAGAATTTTTTTTTAATATTTATTTTTCAGTTTTTGGCGGACACAACATCATTGTTTGTATGTGGTGCTGAGGGTCGAACCTGAGCTGCGCGCATGCCAGGCGAGCACGCTACCGCTTGAGCCACATCCCCAGCCCGGACTTTTTAATTTTGAGGACCAATAAATGCTTCTTGTGATAAAATTAACTTGAGATTTCTTGTTATTTTAATTTTACTCATCTGCAATGGAGTCTTATATGTTACCCTGTGAATATATAACTTCTTTTTCTTTAATTTTTTTTTGTTGTTGTAGATGAACACAATGACTTTATTTTATTTATTTATCTTTATGTGGTGCTGAGGATTGAACCCAGGGCCTCACATGTGCTAGATAAGTGCCCTCCCATTGAGCTACAATCCCAGCCCATATGCAACTTCTGAGGGAAAAGGTGAGGGGGGGAAAAAAAAATATATATATATATATATATATATATATGAAATTCACATCTTAAAAAGATTACTCTCTCCTCAGTATGGAAAAAGGAATGAAGGAGGGTCAAACTAGAGGTAGGAAGACCATTCAGACACCACTGCAGACATCCAAATGAAATGGTAAACTCTAAAAACCTAAATTAGTGAGACAACTGGACAAATTTGGGGCATACAAAGAGACAAGATTAGAAATTGTTAATTAAAGGATATGGAGGGAGAAGGAAGAATTTAAAGATGATATGTTGGTGTCATTAGATAATCAAGACTGAGGTAGGAGAAAAAGGAGGAACAAGAGTAGAGAGAGAGCAGGGAGAGAGGGAAGAGCTCAGACTTATGTTTTGATGGATTTGCTTTAGAAGGTCATTCAGGTGTAGAATGGAGACAAGATATGTGGGACATGGTATCCCACATAATAAACTGATTAACTTCAAAGAGTTCCAAAGTTTCTTGTTGAGAGAAACTTCCAAAAGTCTAAAACACATGATGTAGTTTTAAAATAAATTTTAATTTCAAACATGCTGTAATGATGTAGAAATGATGTTTATTTGAAATAAGCAATAAAATAGTATTGTAACTAGTATTGAAGTAGAATATAATATAAAATAGCTATAGTCCTTACAAAATTTTAGATTTAAGTCTTAGCTTCAATTTCATTATATATGAGGAAAATAAAACTTAGAAGTATCTGAAAAGATTTATTAGAAGACTCACAAATATTCTGAAGAAAATGGTTTTACTACTAAGAGAATTTAAATGAAGATATTTGTAGAGAATAAAAGGAAATTATAAACTTTCAAAACCTTTAGATTTGATGTTTCAGGGGCTGGGAATATAGCTCTGTTGGCAGAGTGCTTGCCTCGCATGCACAAGGCCCTGGGTTCAATCCCCAGCACCAAAAAAAAAAAAAAAAAAAAAAGGATTTGATGTTTCAGCGCCTCATTTCCATGATATGACTGTATATATTATCATGATTTTTCTTCCAGGAATAAGAGAAAAAATATGGAGACAAATTATCCTAAGGAAGAGAATGAATAATTTGTGAAAAAGTCTTGAGATGAAATTAAGTATAAAAGATTATATAAAATAGAGAAGTTTATATAATTAATACACAGGTGTTCAATGAACAAATCACTGGTCAGTCAGATCTAACTAACTAAATGTTGAACATGTATCACATGCACATCAAAGGTCAGTATCTGACACTCTGCACAGTTATTCCAAACAGATTTTTCTCATTCCAAATCACTCTACCATACTAAAATGATCTTTTAAAAAACGAATTTGTTGCAACCATGACCTTCAGTGACTCCTGACTACCCGTAATGAACATAGTTTCATAAAATATATTCTACCAACAACTCATTTGTCTATATGTTTGTTCTGATCAAACACCAAATACAAAGAATATCTATGCACTGAATGAATGTGCTAGAACAATACTACTGCAAGTTTGATCACTAAACTGCCAGGATCAACATCCATTAGAGGTGGAACTTAAGAATCTGGTTTCATAGGCTATCCAGATGATTTTTCTGAATGCTAGTTTTAGGAACACTGTTCTGGAGGTCTAAAAAAGAGAGGACATAATTTTTTCCACACTGACTGTGCTAATTTAAATTCTCATCAATAGTGTATTAGGGTTCCCTTCCCTCTACATCCTTCCTAGTACTTGTTATCCTTTATTCATTTTCATAATTTGTCTTTTAGGGACCTTACCTTCAGAAGGTATTGCAAACATCTGCAGGGGGCTAGAATTCTTTTTGGTAGCGGGGATTGAATTCAGGGGCACTCTACCACTGAGCCACATCACTAGCCCTATTTTGTATTTTATTTAGAGATAGGGTTTCACTGAGTTGCTTAGCACCTTGCTTTTGCTGATGCTGGCTTTTAACTTGTGATCCTCCTGCCTCAGCCTCCTGAGCTGCTGGGATTACAGAGCTGTTGGAATTATAGGCATGCAGGACGGCGCCCAGCACGGGGGCTGAAATTCTTAAACTCTCTCAGTGTGCTATGTGAATAAATGGGGCAAAGTTCAGATTTTTTACTTTTATAGACCATACATGGTAGTCCTTCAAAACTGTACTCAGATACACTCAATATTGTAAGTTGAGTATATTCAAAACATATATTAATGTGTTGATATATAAATGTGCATAAAACAAAACTATTTTTTAGTAGAAGTGAAGTCAAGTCTACATTATAATATTTTAAGAAGATCTTCATTTGTAAGTAGATACGACAGAATTTTAAATTTACAAAACTAATAATACATAGTATACATTCATTTTACATATTTAAAATAGCTAAGGAAATGAAAAGGTGAAAAATGAGAGGTAGCGAAATTCCATTAGTGCTATATTGAATTCTATACATATTAATATATTAGGAGACTGGAGGAGAAAGGGGAACTAAATTCTAAGAGAAAAAATGTGGAGAAGGGATCCCTATGATCTTAGGAAAAGATAAAAGTGGAAGTAAAATTATATTCAAAATGTACCTAAAAATTGTTAGACAGGCATTAATGACAGGAAACTAAATATAATTACTCTTAGTGGTATAAAAGGAGAATGATAAAAGGACAGTATTTTTGCTTTTTTATTAGCTCTAGTTATTCTCACTCTTTTTTCTTATTGCCATGACTTTGGAAGACTTGATTTAGTTATTGCAATTTGCTAAAGACAACATTGCTAACAATTTTGCCTTTACACATTGTGTGTCTTGGATAAAACTCATGAGTTATGGTTACTAATAAGGAAAGGAGGTGAAGGAATCAGGTGACCTAATCCATAAACTACAGAAAGCAGTAGTATTTGCTGATGGAGTCGCTTTCAAACTTGACATGCACTTGAATCCCTAGGAGAGACTGTTAAAACAGAAAGCTGGGCCTCACCCACAAAGGTTTTGATTCAGTAGGTCTGAGAGGGACTCAGGAATCTGAATTTCTAACAAATTCCCAAGTGATGTTGCTGCTGCTGGTTTGAAACACACACTTTGAGAACCATGGCTTTAATGGAAACAGCAATTACAAAACCAAAGAAGAGCCAGGTGGACACTTAAAGGAAATGGTATCTCCCTATGTAGGTTTACCTCTAAACCACAGAACATTATTACCTGCTCAAGTAACTAAGTTTACATTTCAAACCCCAAGGGATATAACTGATAAAATTAGTAGTTACAGAAATTTCTTTACAAAGATGATCTTTAAAACAAAACAGTCATTTGCCTATTTAAGAACTAGTGTTTGAAATTTTGGTACTGACATTCTACTTAAAAAGAAATAATATAAATTCAAAATTTCTGCCTAGAGTAAAATTCAAAACAGGAATTAAAAAAAATCATTGTGTTAAATACAAACACAACCTAATTTATTATTTCCTAAACCAATTATTATTATTATTGTTATTTTTGGTGTAGGGGATTGAACTCGGGGCAACACAGAAAGCCCTCACCACTGAATTACAACCCCAGCCCATACCAATTATTTATTTAGTTAGTTCCAAACCCACTATTAAAAAACAAAATATAGTCATATAAAAGAATTCTTTTGGCAAATGTGCTATATTTGTAAGTATTAGCCACTTATTAAAAACACATTTCTATTAAAATTGCATCTAAATTCTTAGAATACTTGATATCTGGACCCAGCTAAGCTTTTATTTTACAGATCAAAATGCATGGACAAAAATACATTACAATTATCAATGAAGTCTTTCTAACTTTGCTTGAAGGGATTTAAAATTCCCAGTGATGGTTTGGACCGCTACTGAAGAGCTCATAGACTGGAGTTCAACCAGATAACCACAAACAGCATCCAGGCAGAGATTTGTAAATCTTCTCCTGTAAAGGAAATGATACCGGATCAATTACCTATACATTTAGAAACATTACCTTTTATAGGGTTTCTTCTCTCCAATTCTGCTAATCTTACTTTTAGTCTCATAGAAAAGCAAGGATTACATTAATGGCAAATACTTGAAAACTGGGAAGGACACTTTGGGGGAGGCCAATTACCAAATAACCACAATTTTCCATTTGAAGAATATTATGATGAGGAGTCACTAAGGGATGATTCCTGTTAATATTAAATTATTTATATCGTTTTGGCTTTTTTTGTGTGTGTGGTGCTGGGGATTGAACCCAGGGCTTGTGCATGCAAGGCAAGCACTATACCAACTGAGCTCCCCAGCTCCTCCTTTTGGCTTTATCAAAAGAATAATATTCCTGAAAATGGCCAACCATATCACAATGACATAACTGAAATATCTTAGTACTGGGTCATTAATTTAAAGCAGAAGATGTTTAGAAGTCATTCATAAATGATACATGTTCACTTGTAGAACTGATTAAGGATTGTGTGGGCTGGGATTGTGACTCATCGGTAGAGCACTCGCCTAGCCCATGCGAGGCCCCAGGTTCGATCCTCAGCACCACATAAAAATAAATAAAATAAAGATATCGTGTCCAACTACAACTAAAAAATAAATATTAAAAATTTAAAAAAAAAAGAATTGATTAGAATTGTGGCTAAAACACTAAAAAAAATCCCACTTTTCATAAATGCTGATATCAAAAGTTACTGCTGATGTAAACAGGACATAATCTCTAATCCCCACATTTTCCCACATTCTCTCAAAATTTGTTACCCAGGTATTTATTAGAAGCATTTAAAAGCTTTTTCTAGAATACAATATTTAATCATAGTTACCTCTCACAATTTGAAACTTGGTTAGGATTCTCAACATATTTTGCTAATAGTACATGGATACAATCCAAAAGGTGTAGTGGCTTCTTCATTCTGTTCCAGAATGGATCCTATAAAGAATATATGTATATATAGATTAAATGAGTTATAAGGCAAACTGTGTTTAATATTTTGAACATTAAAAACCATGCTGAAATATCTCTTAGGAGGATTTGATGTACTGATGTACTTTGTAGAACATGTAAATGTCCTGCTTAGGAATGTGATGTGAAAGAAAAGTCTATTTATGGGCTGTAATACAATTTTTCTTTGAACTTACGCAGTCTTACTCTGGCATAATACAAAGACTACACTAGCAGTCATAGAATCTTAAATCTGGCTTCAACAGTTCCTAGTCATGTGACTTGAGCAGGTTAGTTAATGTCTCTGCTCTTGTCCTTTTGCAACAGATAACGAGGATACTACTATTTGCTCATTTCCATCATAGGTATATTATAAGGCTCAAATAAGAAAGATGCATAAGATGCCTTGCAAAGCACTGTGCGATGCTACTATAAAAACAAAAACAAAACATCTAGTTCAACAAGGTTTTATTTGGAATCTTTTAACTTAGTATAAAAATTTCAAAATATATAATCTGATAGGGTTCAGTATGTGTGAGAATAATTGTTAAGCACTGATACTTTTGATTAGGTTACATTGAACAAATATACTGTTATTTTGTTCTTTCAAAATAATTTGGCGGGGATGTAGCTCAGTGATAGAGCACTTGCCTGGGATGTGCAAGGTGCTGGATTTGATCCCCAGTACCACCAAAATAAATAAATAAATAAAAATCGAGAATTCTTAAATGTTTGGTACATACCCTGGTTTAGCCCATCCAACCAAGAGTAAAGTATATATAATTATGTTTATTAATATTAAAAATGTTAACATTTCATTTTAATCATGGTATCTAGCAAAGCATCTCTCAGCAGTTTTTAAAGTCTTAAGTATAATTTCTAATAGTCAATGAAGCAAATCCCTGCTGCAACTCTATTAGATTAAGTGATATCACAGTTAAAAATATGAAATCAAAATGTCCCACTGTGTATCTAGAAAAATTAGTTTAATTAATTAAAAAATTTATCTTAATATTTTTCCTTACCCTTGATTTGAATAGTTGATCATAAACTTCTAATAGTCTAGGTAATGGTACTCCAATTTCATTCATGGTCTGTATTACAAAGCCTACATCCCAGTTCAAAGTACAAACTTGCTGTTCTAAGAACTGTACAATAAAATCTAGAGAAAGAAAGATTCGAAATTAGAATTTTTTAAAACTCTTGACATTAAAAGTTAGGTCTTACTCATAGCCGAGTAGTTTCTGGGGGAAATATTTTGAAAACCAATTAAAAATATGTAGGATGCTGAGGGTATAGCTCAGTGGTAGAATGCATGCTTAGTATGTATAAGTAACTGGATTCTATACCACCACCAAAAACCCCCCAAAATAAACAAAAACACACACATTCTCTCTCTATATATATATATATATACACACACACACACACATATATATGTGTATATATATATATTTATTTATTCTAAAACGCCCTAACTTTGATAAACACACTCAAGCACCAGAACAGGCAAATCTGGAGGCAAAAAAGTAGATTATTGTTTCCCTAGGGCTGGAGGATGGGGAGGAATGGGGAATGACAACTAATGAGTACAGGGTTTCTTTTTTTTTTTTCCTCAGTACTAGAGATTGAAATCAGGGGTGTTTTACCACTAAGTTATGTCAGTCCTTTTTGATTTTTGATACAGGATCTTGCTAAGCTGCTGAGGCTGACATTGAGCTTGTGGTCTTCTTGCTTTAGATTCCTTAGTTACTAGGATTACAAGAGTAGTAGGACAGAGTTTCTTTTTGGGATGATGCAAATGTCCTAAAACTAGACTATGATAATGGCTGCACAACTCTGTGAATATGCTAAAACTATTAAATTGTACACTTTCAAGATACTAAGAAAAAACGACAACATCTTAAGGAACTCAGAAAAATATGAAAAGGTACAAGAAGAACAGAGACTATTCATAATTCTATTAGAGGATCTGATAGTTTTTGAAAAACATATTTTTAAAAAACTGTATCTTTAATAACTTTTCAGAAAGGGCTACTGCATCCTGATTTTAAAAAGTCAAAAAATTTTAATGCCCTACCCTTAGGTTTATGTTATTTCTTTCTATCTATCTATCTATCTATCTATCTATCTATTTATCTATTTATTTTGGTGCTGGGGATCGAGCCCAGGGCCTTGTGTATGCGAGGCAAGCACTTTAATAACTGAGCTATGTCCCCAGCCCCAGGTTTATATTATTTTGATGGTTCTAATTGTAATATGTTTTAAGTTATTTTTTATTACCTGTCTTATCATAAACAACATCTTGACAGTAACAGTTGTCAAATTTACAGTTATACTACCTGAAATTAGAAATTGAAATGTAAATGTCCATGGGCAAGAGGAATCACTGAAAGAACTGCTACTGAACCTATAGAATTCACCATTCAGACTTAGGGAAATAACAAGAATTCTAAAAACTTCTAACTTTTATCCAGTTTGAAGTACATTGATGTTTGCTTGCTGTTGAGAAACTGACTAAAAAAGGAAGGTCTCTTCTACTCTACACTTCATAAGGTTCAAAAATTAGGCCAAAGCATAAATACCCTCAAAGGGACTGCATATAATATGACCTTTAAAAAAACTATTAAAAGTATTACTATTAAAAGTATTAGTTTCACATATTTATAAACATTTATTAAAAATATATATACAGGATAAAAAAAATCAGCATACAAAACTCAATAGCTTTCCCAGACACCAATGATCCACAGAGGAAAAAAAAAAAATCAGGAAAACAATCCCAAACACAATAGTTTCAAAAAACAAAACCCAGGAATAAATCTAACCAAGGAGGTAAAACTGAAGAAAGAAATTGGAGAAGACACTAGAAGATGGAAAGACCTCCCATGTCCACGAATAGACAGAATTAATATTATTTAAAATGGCCATACTACTAAGCATTATACAGATTCAATGCAATTCCTATCAAAATGCCAAGAACATTATTCACAGAACTAGAAAAAACAGTTCTGAAATTCATTTGGAAGAAAAAGACCCAGAATAGTGAAAAAATTTTTAAGCGGAAAAAAAAAAAGCAATGCTGGAGGCATCACAATACTTGACTTCAAATTATAATGAAAGAGCTATAGTAACAAAAACTGGATGGTACTGACATAAAAACAAACACACAGACCAATGGAACAAAATAGAAGACACATCCCAAATACAGTCACCTGATCCTTGACAAAACACAAAAAACATTTGTTGGAAAAAAACTTTTATCCTCATGTAGAATGAAATTAGACTCTCCTCTTTCAACCCTGCACAAGTCAACTCAAAATGGATCAAGGACCTCAGAATTAGAAAAGAAACTTTCCAATTTCTAGAAGAAAACAAACATCAAATGAATGTTCTAACATATAACCTCAGGCAACTTCAACAGGACTCCTTAAGCTCAGGAAATAATATCAAGAATAAATAAAGGGAATCAAATTAGAAAGTTTCTGCACAGCACACATGTTATTGAAAACAATAACATGAAAAGAGAACCTACAGACTGAGAGAAAATCTTTGCTAGCTACTCTTTGACATATAATTAATATCCAGAATATATAAAGATTCAAAAAACTTAACACCCCAAAATCCCTAAACACACAATCAATAAGTGGGCAAATGAACTAACAGACACCTTTCAAAAGAAAAAAATATAAATGTCCAACAAATACATGAAAAATGTTGAACATCTTTAGCAACCAGGAAAATGCAAATTAAAACTACACTGAGATTCATCTCACTCCATTTTGAATGGCAGTCATCAAGAATATAAATAATACATGCTGGAGAGCTGGGGTTGTGGTTAAGTGGTACAGTGCTTGCCTTGAATGTGTGAGGCACGTGGTTTGATTCTCAGAACCTCATATAAATAAAAATATAAAGGTCTATCAACAACTAAAATAAATAAATAAATAAAATTTAAAAATAATAATATATGCTGGAGAGGATGGGAGGGCTGGGGAAAGAAACACTTTACACTGTTTACTGTAAATTAGTACAACTACTATGGTAATCAGTATAGAAGTTCTTAAAAAGAGTAGCAATGGAACCACCATATTACCCAGCTATACCACTCCTTGGTATTTATCTCAAAATATTGAAGTCACCATACTACATCCATGCCCATGTTATAACAGTACAATTCACAATAGCCAAATTATGGAACCAGCCTAGTTGTGTCAAAAGATGAAAGGAAAAAGACAATGTGGTAATGTATACACAATGGAGTTTTAGTCAATCATAACGAAGAATGAAATTCTGTCATTTACAGAAAAATGGATAGAACTTGATAGCATTAAGAAAAATAAGCCACTCAGAAAGCCAAGAGTTGTTTTCTCTCATATGAGGAAGCTAGAAAGGGGGAAAAGGGATAAAAATAAAGGTATGGGGGATCTCATGAAAATTGAAGGGAGACCAGTAGAGGAAAGGGAGCAGGGGAGAGAAGTAGGAGGGGAGGAAAAAGGGAAATACTAGGGAACAACACTAACCAAAACATATTTTTATCTCATGTGCATGTATGAATGTATAACGATGAACACTACTAATATGTATAATATGAATGCACCAATAATAAACATGCATAAAATACATACATATGTCTGCTCTTTTATTTCTTTTTTGCAGTACTGGGATTGAATCTAAGGGTGCTCTACCACTGAGCTACATTCCAAGCCTTTTTTGAAAATTTAAAAATAATTTAGAAAATTTCTTAGTGCATTATATATATACATAATAGTGGGACCAAGCTTTTTTTTTAAAAAAAAAAAAAATTATTTTGAGATAAGGTTTAGCTAAAACTGCCCTCTAATTTGAGATGCTCCTGCCTCACACTCTGGAGAAGTTGGAATTACATGCATTCATCACTTCACCTAGCTTATGTTTGCTTATTTATTTATTTTTTAAGGTGCTGGGGATTGAATCCAGGGCCTTATACATGCTAGGCAAATGCTTTACCACTAAGCCATACCCTTAGCCCTTGCTCTTTTATATACTTTATTTCTCTATCTGTGAAATGGCACAGTACTCTTAATACTATGCCTACAAGAAATAGGGGTATGATTATAATGGTTGCATTTCTGACCATGTTCAAGGAGTGGATGCTAAATCTGAGGTGGCCTATAAACAACTTTGAATGCTCATGAAAAAAAATAATAATTTAAAGAGGGATGGGAAAAGAAAAGACTAGAATAAATCTGACATAACTTTCCTATGTACCTATATAAATATACCACAGGGAATCTCATCATTGTGTACATCCACAAGAAATTAATTAAAAAAAAACAAAACAGGGGCTGGGGTTGTGGCTCAGCGGTAGAGCACTCGCCTAGCATGTGCGAGGCCCTAGGTTCAATCCTTAGCACCACATAAAAGTAAATAAATAAAATAAAGGTATTGTGTCCAACTACAACTAAAAAAATAGATAAAAAACAAAAAATAAAACAAAAACAATGAGAGTGTTAAAAAAACACTACGGGTAAATGACAGAAAGATCAATTGAGGGAAAAGAGCATGGGGTAGGGAGAGGGAAGGGGAAGAAGAGGTACTGAATTAGAATATATTCCATGCTTTTATAATTATGTCAAAATGGCTTCTACTGTCATGTACAACTAAAAAGAACCAATTATTTATAAAAAAATTGAGAGCTGGGGGTATAGCTCAGTGGTACAGCACTTGCCTAGTATGACTCTGGGCTCTATCTCTAGCACTGTAATATATGTAAATAAATGAATGAGTAAAAGTAAAAGAAATAATGCTATATTATGAGCACATTCATTCATGTTTTTCAATATTTTTCAATAACATAAAAATGCTTAGTATTCCACTTCATGGATGTATTTTTGGTGCTTCTATTGTTTTAAAACAGAAAAAACTACAGATTGGCAAGTAACTCAATAGTTGCCTATAAAACAATTATAGTCTGCATAGGAAAGGGGTTCAAATAATTAAGATTGTAACCTAACCATTTAAAGAAAAATATAATCTGTGCAACAGAGCAGTTAAATCAAGCACAGAACATCAGAAACCTTCCTCTTCACAACCTTGTACTGAGTTACCAACAATATAATCACTTATAATTTGCAATCTGCACAATCCCAAAATGGATATTTAAACTTGGAAAGTTGGTAAAAGTGTTTCATACTTAACTATTCATGAACAAGTTATGCTATTTTCTGAGGTCCTTTTTTTGGAGGTATAATTAAACTGCTGAGCTCGATAGCAACAAAGATATTCTATTTTTCACTCTAAAGATCATTACTTCTCAATAAAGAAAAAAGTCATCAAATGAAGAAAATCATCAGAAAATGGAACATGACAGCACCTAAGGTTACTGCTTACCTAAAGGGAAGAAGCGAGGTGTACCAGCATAAATTTTGCCAAGGAGGACAATCTTCAGACTGAGAGCATGCATTCTATCTGTGGAGCTCAATGTTACACTATCATTCAACTCTGTAAGAAAGAGATATGTCAGTAGAAACCCAAATTATTTTTAGTGTAAAATGTTTTTATTGGCTATTTAATTGTTTCAAGGTTCGAAATATAGAATTGAGATTCACATTCATATAATTAGCAGATTCTGTGTTCCTGTTACTGTCTGATAAATGCTCTCATCTTACCAGATTATGAGATTTGAGGGAAGTGTCACAATATCCCTTATTATGTAGCATAAATCCTAGAAATGACACATTCTTTCTACTGAGGGTGTTTCCAGATTTTTAGTGGGATTGCTGTCTATATGATCACCCTCCACTCTATGCAGATGTCCCAACTCTCTCTCTTCTTAGGTATACCTTTTTCCTTAGCCCTAGGAATATTATCTACTAGCAGTTTGCATGCCTCTACCATATCACTAAATAATGTATGTTAATTTACTATAATCCAACACTTACCTTTCTCTATGATATCTTGCCAAAGGGTCTGCACCAATATGGGGTCTGAATAACCAGCACAATGAATTATTCCAAGTTTACACTCTGCGAGTTTAAATGGGTCAGCAAATTCCCCATAAAGCTGTGGGAGAAAAATCCCACAATTAAACAACCAAGCAGAGATTAATATTGAAACATTCCTTCAAAATTAAAAATAATCAAGATATCAAAAGTATCTAAACCATGATACAGAGTAGATATTCATTATCCAAAATGCTTAGGAATAAATGTTTCAAATTTTGGAATATATAAATATACACAATGAGATATGTTAAGGATAGGAACTAAGTCTAAACATTTAATTCATTAATGTTTCTTACATGCCTTACACACACACACACACACACACACAGCCTGATCAAAGTCTTATATAATATTTTAAATAATTTTATGTGTTTTGACTATGACACATCACAAGGTCAGACATGGAATTTTCTACTTGTGGTGTCATGTTGGTGCTCAAAGCTTCAGATTTTGGAGCACTATGGATTAGGAATGCTCAACCTGTATAAAGATGGTTATAACTCCAGGGCTAGGGGATATGGCTCAGTTGGTAGAGTGCTTCCCTCGCATGACAAGGCCCTGGGTTCAATCCCCAGCACCAAAAAAAAAAGATGGCCATAATTCCAGATTAGTACTTATCCCCTTTTTTTCTTGGCCAAGCAGAGGTACTGTAATGATACTTCTTTTAGAATTAGTGTTGTTTAAACCAGATGTTCATAATTAAGGGAATACTGACAAATCTTGGGAGTGTTTCAGGGTACTTGGAACCATGTCTAAGAATAATTGAAGATGGAACTTTAAAGAAGGGTACAGAATGAGAGAGGCTTGGAGAATTAAGTAAACATAAGTTACTTTTCCTAAGGCAAGAAATAAGGCCATAAATTAGCTGATTTTAATATAGCCCCCCAGGGGAGACTAATACGTTCTTCTCAGCTACAAATCTGGCAGGGGAAGTTCAACATTTTCTAGGAGTCAGATGCTACAGCTATCATCTACTCATCCAGTGACAAGCTACCAAGGATGGCTGTTCTTATTTTGTAGAGGTAAAATCATATTTCTCAGGAAACAAAAAGCAAAATATGAAACAAAGAATTTCTAAAAGTAAGGTGACCATTATAGGAATTTCACTCGCTTTCTTATTACCTTAGTTATGTCCATTAACTCAGAATCCAACTGAGAAATTGCGTCCTGTACAGAAGAATGATGGGAATACTGTCTTTGTAGTGTTTCTTGAATTTGAAGTTGGATTCTAGCAACCTATTTTGGACAGAAAATAATGTTTTAATCTCTTTATGACAAGTTAACAAGTGCTTGAAGGAATAACTCCTAGTAAAGTTCGCTAAAATAAAAATAATGTACGTCACAGGGTATGTACTACAGCAGAAAGCCTTTGCTGCCCACTAGTACCTCTCATGAATGTAGCCAGACACATAACTAACTAGACCGGCCTTTCCAGTCACCTATGCAAAGTGGTATGGCCACATGAGTAAGTTTTCTTCATAGAATGAGAGTAAAAGTAAAGGGCCGTGGTTTTTCTGAGTGTAAAAGTGCTTCTTATACATTTTTTTCTTTCTCTTCCTGTCAGATAAAAGCCAAGGCCCTAGGGAATGGCAGTATTAGAAAATAAAACCTGGGTCCCTAAATCAAACATGTGGAAGAAAGTCACCTGCCAATCAGGAACATACACTTAATTTCTGTGAATGAGAAATAAGCTGTTTGCACATAGACAACTAAATTTTTTGGTCTCTTAGTTAAGGCAATTTATCTTACTCCTTATGTTTATAGAATCAATGGTGAATATAATATAACAAACATCTTGTTCCAACAGCTGATTCAAAAATACAGAAATATCACAGTTAAAATGTATAAATTAAGCTGGGCATGGTGGCGCAAGCCTGAAATCCCAGCAGCTTGTGAGGCTGAGGCAGGAGGATCGTGAGTTAAAAGCCAGCCTCAGCAATGGTGAGGCGCTGAGCAACTCAGTGAGACCCTGTCTCTAAATACAAAATAGGGCTGGGGATGTGGTTCTCAGTGGTCAAGTGCCCTGAGTTCAATCCCCAGCACCGCCCCTCCCATGCCAAAATTTGTAAGTTAAATTGCAACGATGTCTTTATATTCCAAGTTCTGGTATACTTAAAATCTCTCTAAGATTTATACCTAAACAGAAAATAAATATATACAAGCAGAAGAGACTAGAATTAATAATAATCACCTCTATAAACCTACCATTTACCAGGGAAATAAGGAAAAGTGAAATAAATATGTGGCTACTACTCTATAAGGATATAGCTTAAGTGTACTTACTTTTTTTTCTAGAGATACTTACTTCCATTTTTTCTTCTAATTCATGAAGGAATTCACCATCTGCAGCTATTGACGAAATGGCAGTGGAACTTTTGGCACTAAGAATGGCTCGGGCAATGTACTCTAACCGTTGCTGAAGTGAAATTTCTGTGCTAGGAGGGAAAACCCTTTATTTTTAGTTATATGATTTTGAAGAACTGAAGATATAAATATGCCATGTAGGATGTACTATTTTAAACCAAATGAGCATAAAAGGCCATTTGAAATGTGAAAAATTATTTTTCTAATAAATCTATTTTAGATTTCTAATGAGAGATTCATGATTTTAGACAACAAATTCTACATCTAAAAAGTATCTTCCTATTTTAAAACGTCAGTTCAGTATATTAAAGATTAAATAGCTGAGTGCAGTGGCGTGAGCCTGTAGACTCAGCTACTTGGCAGGCTGAAGCAGAAGGACTGCTTGAGCCCAAGAGTTTGTAAACAGCCTGGGCAACATAGCAAGACGTTGCCTCAAAAAAACTTAAACCATAGAAAATGAAGACAACATAGATTCTTCTAAAATTAAGGAAAAACTTTTTTATTATTCCTCATATTTCTACCTTAATAAGTTTATATTACATTTAATTTTCCACACAGCAACCAGGATGACCACTTAAAATAAAACTCATGGACTACAACGATATGTATTCTCTTAAGACCCTTTAATCACCTTTTCCTAACTTCCCCCAACTTCATCTCCTTCTACTCATTCCTATGTTCACTATCTCCAACACCAGCTTTCTTTCTTGTGTCCCAAACACAACGAACCTGTATTCTGCAGCACTTCTGTACAGATTCATTACTGTGCTTTGACCACTTTTCCTCCATTTCTATACAGTTGCCTACTTCTTGCCCTTGTAGTCTCAAATTGAATGACACTTTCTCTGAGGACTTTTTTTTTTTTAGTTGTAGATGGACACATATCTTTATTTAATTAATTAATTTATGTGATGCTGAGGATTGAATCCAGTGCCTCACACATGCTAGGCAAGTGCTCTACCACTGAGCCACAGCCCCAGCTCCTCTCTTGAGGCCTTTTTCAACGACTCCTAACTACAACAGCTCCCCACCCCTGCCAGGCACTTGCTATTATATTATACATTTTTATTGTATTTATAGAACCTGAATTTATTTATCTCTGGTCTTTGTTTACTACAAGGTCAGAAGAGGATAGTGCCTGTCTTGTTCACTATTGCTTCCTGAATGCCTTGAACACTGGCACTCAAAACACATTTGCTTGCTGACCTATTGATAGGTATTAGAAAGTCCCAAGCATGGATCTCATGGCTGCCAACTTCAGTCCTTTATATTCCACGAACCTGACATCATAAATTAGCTTGTCATTAAAAGCAAACCAATTCATTTACTTGTAGGGAACCTCTCATCAATCTGCATTAAATTTATCTTTTGCAACCAATGCATTCCAATTGGCATCAGGAAAAAATTGACTTTTTCTACTCTCAAAGAAGGCTTTATTTAAACTGTCCTTCTCTATAATTATGGTTCCTCTTTTTCTTCAAACAAAAGAATCCAAATTTAAAAAGAACTCTCTCTCTTCTGTTTTTCAAAGCAGAACTGTGTATGGCAATTAACTAGCATTACCCTTAAGGCTAAATATTAAGTACTCTGTACATTTAGGGGTCTTGTTACTGAAAGAGCTTTACTCCCAGTTCCAACTCCAACTCCCTCTCAACTGAATATTTAAAAAGCAAGTAATATTTCCAAGTTATTTAAAATATAACATTCTATGGCTGCCAATTAATTTGGTGCAGCCCATATATACAAGAAGATTGCAGTGAGCAAAAGAGCAAAAAGTAATGCAATAGTTGGAAAAATTTATTATGGAAGGGAGTTTCTAAATCCAGGAATATAATGATTTTTGCAACAAGATAAAGAGTAAAGTACTATTAAAGATGGGCAATTAAGAGACTCTAATTTTCCATTTTGTTTTGTTTCTGTGGTACTGAGGATGGAACCTCAGTTCATACATGCTAGGCAAGCATCCTCCTAATGAGCAACATCCCTTCATTAAAATTTTATTTTGAGAAAAAGTCTCAAGTTGTCTAGGCTGGTCTTAAATTTGCAATCCTGCTTCAGCTGTCCAAGTAGTTAGGATTACGGTGTGTGCCAAAGTCCTGGCTAGAGATGTTAAAGTTTTAAGACAATATGGCACAATAAAAATGGCATAAAGAGATCTGTATGGTAATGGTATTTAGGACTACATAAGAATAATAAGAGTAATCTTGAAATGAAATACTAAAAGTCTGGATTAGGGCACAGGCCATATGTAACTCTAGAAGAGTACAGCATGTAACATGTTCTCAAACATTGGATTACATAACTTTAATACATAACTTTAAGACATGTAGCTACAATGAATTTAAAGTTTAATAATGTTAATCCTTTTTTTTTTTTTTAAATTTTTTATTGTGGGTTGTTCAAAACATTACAAATTTCTTGACATAATGTTAATCCTTAATTATAAAAGTTATAAATTAACCAAGGCTTTTACTGGCAATTGTCTTTTAGGACTTTAAAGTCATTTCATCTTTTGCATGAAGGGGAACTTAAAAAAAAATCAAGTTAACTATTAAGACGAAAAAGGAGAGAAAACTAAGAAATATGTGCAATATAATATATATCTGCACATTAATGCGCATAATCACACTTGCTATAACTGAATTTTTCTCTTTTGGTGCTGGAGATGAACACAGGTCTAAATTTGTGTTCTACCAGTAAGCTACACCCTTGGGTTACCACTACCCCCTGATTTTTACAAGATCTCACTATAATACCCAGGATGGCCTTGAACTCCTGGGCTCCTCTTCCTGAGTTGCTGGGATTATAGATGTGTGCCAAAGCACCCAGATCCATATGAACTCTTTAAGCAATAATTCTCATTAATGTGATTTGATATCAGCTCTGTCTCCATACCTTTCCTTGCTAAATCAACCAATCCCCAGTTTTCAAAATAGTTACCCATGAAAATAGAAGGTTAAAAGAATGATCTTTCCAATATTATATCAAATGATCATTTGATATAATACTCTAATTTAAATCTCCATGATTGTCTTAATGAAATTCTTTTTTTTTTTTTTTTAATGTTTATTTTTTAGTTTTCGGCAGACACAACATCTTTGTTTGTATGTGGTGCTGAGGATCGAACCTGGGCCGCACGCATGCCAGGCGGGCACGCTACCGCTTGAGCCACATCCCCAGCCCTTAATGAAATTCTTAATCCTTAATATGTAAGCTGTGAGACATTTTTAGTAATTTAACACAACATAAGAAAGGCTGGGGATACAGCTCAGTCTGTAGAGTGAGAAATAGTTTTTGATCTTTTACTTAATAATAATTAACTACTGTTACTCAGAAAGAGTATAAAGACATACTTTAAGGAAAAAAAATTATAAGGCAGTTTGAATAAAGAGGGTCTAATGAGGATTCTTTTATTACCTACCTACCATACATTATTATTTTTTAATACCTTTATTTCACTTATTTATTCTTATGTGGTGCTGAGGATCAAACCCAGGGTCTCGCACATGCGAGGCAAGTGCTCTACCACTGAGCCACAACCCCAGCCCATACATTATTTTTTTTTAAAAAAGGAAGCTGGGTATGGTGGCACACATCTGTAATCCTAGGAGTTCAATTCCCAGTACCCCGAATCCCACAATAGAGAATTATGAACTATAGGTAAATCCAAGTAAAAGCGTAAAAAATTCTACTTAAATTGAATTAAATTCTACTTAAAAATTCTACTTAACTTGAATAGATTTCACTTCATCTGTGAAATCTGTATATAACTACATATAACTAGGTCTTTAATAATTCTTCACAATGAGAATATTATGCCATACCTATGCATGTCAGCCAATTTGGATAGGACACGAGCAGCATTACTAAAACTTCTGTTCTTCTCATAATATCTCCAGAGTAAATCCATATAACGAACTTTGTTTTGATCCACTTTGGCCATTCGGACTAGATGTGGCTCCAGAAATGGAGAAGCAATCTAGAAATTATATGGTTACTCAGAAAAATGTTCTGAACACCAGTCTTAAGTCAAAAACACAATATTTCTAAAGCAACTATAATTTTGCTTTGTTGCATGAAATAAGCAAAATTAGAATCCAATAAAATAAGATAAAAGAATAGGCAATTTTTCTCATTACAAATGATTCTTGTTTTACTAGCTAACAAGTTTCTATAACAATTCAATTAGGTTAATAAAAATAAAATTACAAATCTTTAAATAAGCTTTGAGAACATAGGTATTGACTAGGTTCTGAGCTCAAAGGTGCCCTTAAAATTAATGAATGTCAGATAGTCATTTTATAGAAAAAGGAATATTGAGAGAGTAGTAAAAGAACATGTCCATAGTCACACAGTGATTTAAAAGCAGAGATAAGATGAAGTTCATAATTCATAACCCAGTGACTTCTACTCCACAATGTACATTATCCTAAATAACTTCTAAGCAAGAAAGTTAAAGCAACAGTCTAGTTGGCTTCTTAGGAAAAGAAATTATATTACATACTTAGGTTTATAACAACTGATGGTAGGTACAGGACGAGAAAAGAATTTCCTACAACTATATATTTGCTTAAATTACTAAGTTATACTAGTTAAAAATATAAATTAATATTAACAACACTGCAATAAAAAAAAACATTTTTTACCTGTAGTAGCTTATCGGCAAGGTCAGCTTGTATTAACCAATTATAAAGAGCAATACTAAAGAGCTCATCCTTGGATCGCTGAGCCAATTTGAGCATTTGTTCAAACTAAAATAAATAAAACAGCAAAATTGGCATAGTTAAAGGTTTTGTTGTTGGGTATCACAACACTTTAACTCTAAACCCCTAATAAGAAATCAAGAATCATTGAACAGAAACTTCTAAGAGCTACTACCTTTCCTCAAGTGATTATGCCACCCCTACCTTACAGAATTTCTAAAACACGGTGTACTTTCAAAAGAAAATATGCTATGCCCCTTACATGGTGTCCTGCTTCTTCATTGCTCAGCATATTGGGATCAGATGATAGCACTGGAGGACCAGGTTTTTTAGGTACACTAGGAGACTGAGGAGCAGCCTTACTTTGATTTACAAGTTCTTGAAGGGTGTCTGTAATGCACTTGTAGCTGTTTAATCTGAAATAGAACACAAAAGGAAGTATGTTATTTAACTAAAAGCATTTGATTTACTTTATAAAATGTAAATATATACAAGAAAATAGTATATACACAAGAAGTATACTTGGGTAATACAAATACATATTTAGTATTAAAAATAACAAGCCCGGAGTGGTGGCACATGCCTATAATCCCAGCACTTGGGAGGCTGCAGCAGGAGGATCACTTAAACCCATGAATTTGAGATCAATCAGTGTGGGCAACACAGCAAGACCCTATCTCAAAAATAGATTAAAAAAATATACTTTCTCTGGGCTGGGGTTGTGGCTCAGGGGTAGAGCACTCACCTAGTGTGTGTGAGGCACTGGGTTTGATCCTCAGCACCACATAAAGTAAAATAAAGACGTTGTGTCCACTTCTAACTAAAGAAATTTAAAAAAAATTAAAAATAAATAAATAAAATAAAATACTTACCATTATCCTGAATGAAAACCCCATTTTTGTTTTCAAATGTTTTCCCCTTTAAAAACACCAATAAAGTCTCAAAAAACCCAAACAACTCCTTCCACAACACCAAAACAAAAAGAAAAACCACAGATGTAGGTCCGAAAACATTTATAATTTCTTAAGAATTTTCTTCAGATAAAAACTTTATTTCTGGGCTAAAAATTTTAATACTGATACAAGTCTTTATAAAACAATTAAGGCAGAATTAAATTTTATAAGGGTTATACTTGGAATATTATTTCCCTAATACTATCAATCAAAACTTGACACAAAAGTCTGAGGGGCTGGGGTTATGGCTCAGCGATAGAGCGCTCACCCGGCATGTGTGAGGCTCTGGGTTCGATCCTCAGCACCACATAAAAATAAACAAATAAAATAAAGATGTTGTGGTTCATCCACAACTAAAAAAATTTAAAAAAAAAAAGTCTATCTGAAAGCGGATAATTGGCTAAAGTATTAGCAGTCACCTTTCTTGGAAAGCTTGAAGTCCAACCATGTCTTCCTCTGGCTCTCCATGTTTATAGAAATGAAGTCCAAGACCCTGAGGATCTTTCTTCTCTGCAGCAGTAAGAGAAAGTTCCACCACACCCTCATAAAAACGCACTAATGGGAAAGAAAAGGACAGCATATTTAGCCTATAATTAAGCTGAATATAATTTTCCTTAGCTGGCATATAAAACTAATCATTAAGGTCTATGATATATTAGTCTCCCTGGTGGCAACATCACAGAATGTTTCTGGTGAGACTATCAAAGAAAAAGGTCTTAATATGCTTTTCAGGCAGATAGTATTAAAAAAAAAATCATACTTAAAATAACAGAAAGTAGGATTTCACTTCTTTGTTAGGGGAAAAAAAATCTTCAGGTACAAAATAATAACTGCACTAAGGGCAACAGCTTTTATATTAGGTTGGATCTGATTTAAAGTAATTTCAAATAAAGGAGGCATACTTTATTTTGAAAATTAGTAAAGAAATTTTAAGCATTTTAAAAATAAATATTACTAATAGTTAACTGGACAAGAACTAAAACTCCAACGTTAAAAAGTTACAAATTTCAGGCTGAGGGTATACCTCAGTGGTAGAGCCCTGGCCTAGCAAATGCAAGGTCCTGGGATCAAGCCCTAGAAAAGAAAAGTTACATATTTCATGTTATCACTTAGGCCACTGACAATGAAGAAAGATTTGCCTCTGGGAAGAGGCATTTCATCATCATCTTACTTTATTCACATACTGTCATATATCCTCTGAGATGAGTAAAAGGTAAGATGAACATTTTATTTCTTACCTTGTCTATACTGAGTGCAGACGTTGGAAAGATCCACTTGATTGCTGATTTTTTGATATTCCTTTAATGATTCCCTTAACATTCTTTCCTTTTCAGACTTACTTTGAACTTGTCGGGAACGCTGGAGAAGCTCATTTGCCTAGAAGAGATGATAAAAACTTTAAAATAATATAAAATCAGGGGGATGATGCTGTCAACATAAAATTTAAGTCTATGTCTAAATTTATATGTGGTTTACCACCATTAAAAATAAAAACAACTCTACAAACTTACTTCTTCTTAATTTTAGGCAGAAAAGTTTTTGATCAAAATTATCCTAGCTATTCTTAATTCCTCTCACAAATATGTTAATCAAGACAGTTTTGTCAGGTAATTCTCTTGCCTAGTCAATACATTATTGGTCAGCAGGCAGTCCATGTGACACTGATTTATTTATTTTTTCAACCTGTAGGAAAGGATCAATAAAAATTGTTCCATTAACTCTAATTCATAATAGATTTACTTAAAGTTTTAGTGATTTTCCTTAATTTCTAAGGAGAGACACGAATTCCCTAATTTCTAAATTCAGTGTTTTTCCTTAATTTCTAAGCTTTTTCTTTAAAAAAAAAAAAAAAGATACATATTTAGTTTTAGGTGGACACAGTATCTTTATTTTATTTTTATGTGGTGCTGAGGATCAAACCCAGTGCCTCATGCATGCTAGGGGAGCGCTGTACCACTGCACCACAACCCCAGCCCAAGCCTTTTCTTTTTTAACAAGACCTAAAAATAATATCAAATATTCTTTTATGACAAACTTAAAGGAGCATACACAATTAAAGAAAGCATGAAATCCAACCCTTTTCTTAGATAGCTGAGGATTCTGAGGCCAAAACAACTAAGAGATCTCTTGGAGATCACATTAAGTAAAACAAAACAGTTCCTCTCATTTGGTGTGCTTTTCATCGTACCATGAAACTTACTGTAAAAAACTGAAGCATCATACCTTAGAACAAACTGCATCATCAGTGCTATACAGAAGTGGGCAGATGTCCTGTAAATGTAAACTAATGCCATCAACAGCAGCATTATCTCTGATGTAGCAGTTGATAAGAGAAGAAATTAATGCCCCTGTGAGTTCTTTGTCCCTGATTACCAGATCTTTAAAAGTGGTGATCTTCAGCTGCTCTTGAAATTCCTAGGAGGATAAGAGAAGAATCCTTTCTATCAAATTATAGAAATATTATATTTCCACACAGTGAAATGTTTTCAATAACTTAAACACTAGCAGACTCTAATTCAAAAGAGAAAACAGGGTTACAGGTATAGTTCAGTGGTAGAGCTATTTCCTAGGACATGTAAGGACCTGGATTTTATTCCCAAAACTAGGAAGAAAAAAAAAAGAAAATATGCTACAGCAACAAATTATTGTAAACATGCATAAAATAATGTAGAGTTGGAAAAGAACCCATAGTGGGTGTAGTTTCAAACCTTTTACTTACAAATGGGGAAAGAAAAGTCCAGGCCAGGTCAACTGACTTCAGTTATAACAGTAAAGAACATTTAAAACAATCTCAGTTTACACCTTATTTTTCCTAAATAATGTTAAAAAATTTTGTTATTTGAGGCCTTTTAACATTAAAATTTGTTCTATATTTTGAATAGCTTTGCTTGTTAAAATGAAATTCAAAAGCATGAAGGTGATTATATTATAGTAAAATACTGTTTTGTGATTTGATTATTTCCTTTTTCTAAGCACAAATATCAACAAAATATCCAAACTGCACTCATATTTTTGCACAAATATTTAATCTGCTTTCCTTGAGCACATAGTTGGTGATGCAAGAAAGCAAGCTTTGAAGATGATGGCACATAATAAGCCAAAAAACTTGGGCTGGGGTTGTGGCTTAGTGGTAGAGTGCTCCCCTAGCATGCGTGAGCCACTGGGTTTGATCCTCGGCACTGTATAAAAATAAAGTTACTGTGTCTACATACAACTAAAAATTAAATGTTTAAAAAAAAAAAAACTACCTATATTATGTTTACCACCTAACAAAACTTAAAAATATTATTCTACCTGGCATAAAAAAGAAAGTAGTTTTCATAAACATTATAGATTGAATTTTTAATAAGGAAAAAATGTATGTGCTTATAAGAAAACTAAAACCAAACACCAAAAACTATTCACTGGACACTAGTAAAAGGAACTGGGGTCATCTTCTAGCTTTCTTTAAAAAAAAAAAAAAAAAAAAAAAAAAATTAATTAATTTTAATTAGGTATATATGACAGCAGAATGCATTTTGATTCACTGTACAAAACTGCAGCACAACTTCTCATTTCTCTGGTTGTACATGATGTAGTGCTGTACCATATGTGCAATCATATATGTAAAATTATGGGTCACCATCTAACTTTGAAAAATTGTAATTAAAAGTCAAGAATTAGGCATTCAGGGTAACAAAACAGTCCTAAAAAAAAAGGAAAAGTTTTTTTTTTAACTGTGGAAGGAATCAGTTTAGAAAATTATGATTTTGTATTCACAGATGAAATAACCAAATCAGGCAATGAGTATCAATGGATGACAAAAGCCTGATTAAAATCTCATGGAAAATTTTACAATGGGAGAACTGAACTTACCACTTGAATTCAGCAATCAATCTTAGTTGCACTAAAAAGTAGGACAATCAAAATTTTGGGGTCTTGTTAGTCTGATGAACAAATCACCACCTATGAAAAATTCTGTTCTTCATCAAATAAATGAACCTGAACCTAATCAAGCCTAAGTATACTTTTCTTTAAACATTTTTTAGCTGTAGATGGACACAATACCTTTATTTATTCATCTTTATGAGGTGCTGAGGATCAAACCCAGGGCCTCACACATGCTAGGTGAGCATTATACCACTGAGCCAAAACCCCAGCCCTAACTAACTTTCATTTTACAGAAAATGTAGGGGATACAAGTTCACTCTAAGGATAGTAAAAAGAAACAGTCAGAATGCTGGACATTCTATAGGACCGATGATCTGATTTCCAAGGTTACAATAGCAAGTAAAAAAAATATCCCTCCCCACTAAAAAGAAGCTAAGACTTACTCTAGATTGAAAGAGATTTACAAGAAACAACAATAAAATTCAATGAGTAAACCAACTGGATTTCTTTGAAGGTGGGGAGAGGAATATGTAGCCCAAATAAAGATTAAAACTTATTATCATAAAAAATATGTTTTTGGTAAACTAAGTCTTCATTTGTATCCCAGATAGAAAGTTCTCATATACTGAAAAACTTGTAGCTTGACAAAATGGTTCTCTCAAGTTATTACATTTGCCTGCAATCATTCTAGCTTTATAATAACATTCTAGCTTTAAAATAACCTAATGCTTCCCAAACCCAAGTGTAAGATTAAAACTTATGCAAAAGAAACAAACTTGGTATTAATACTATGATTTTTAAACAAAAATCCCACAAACCTTACCTTCTGAAGTTCTCCTACAATGACAGTAAACTGATGTTCACAAAGAAGTTTCCATAAAGCCAGGGCCTGGTATGATTTTCGAACCAACTGTTGAATTGCCTGAAGTGAAACCTTTTCACTCAGCTGAGCCTCTAATGAGAAAATATAACTATTGGAGTTTTATAAAATGACAAAGATTAAGCTGTTTATTTTAAATAAAACTATAGTTAAGGTTGAATTTCTCAAATTCCCATTATCCTCTCTGTCCCCATCAAAGGCAACTGAACATCAGCTGCTGTATTTAGGGGGTTTTTTTGGTACAGTGGTGTACCCAGGGGTGCCTAACCATTGAGTCACATCCCCATCCCTTTTTATTTTTCATTTTGAGACGGATCTTGCTAAGTTGCTTAGAACCTCACTAAATTGCGGAGGCTGGCTTCAAACGTGCAAGCAATCCTCCTGCCTAAGCCTTCCAAGTCGCTAGGATTACAGACATGTGCCACCACATCTGGCTGTATTTACATTTGTATCTTTTTGCTTTAGATATGTGCATCTGTGTATATGTACATATGAAAAATAAAAGTGTTGCTCTGTTTTTAACAATCAGACCAATACTTTCTCAATGCAGTTATATGTTCGCAGTTGACAAATCCAACTATATTTATTTTATCAGAGTGTTTCAGCTACCCCAATTTGGCCCATTTTTGCACCTGAAGGACATTTAGATTGCTTCCCATGTTTTGCTACTAAATGAATATGATAAAAATTCTTAATGAAGGTTTCCTGGAAAGCACAATCATGTTTCTCCAGGACCAAGTTTCTCAACCCTGGATATACATGTTGGTGGATCATGAAATCAGTTCAGTCCATCATAATACCCCCTCATCCCTTAATAGGAAATAGAATATAGAATAAAATGAAAAAGGAAAAAAATTAGAGTATGAAACAGGTAGAGTTGTTTTAGGAAATTTTGTTTCAGTTATATATATATGTGTGTGATTTTAAATATCTGCATTGGGCTAAGGTTGTAGCTCAGTGGTAGAGTGTTTGCTTAGCATGTGTGATGTCCTGGGTTTGATCCTCAGTACTGGGGGAGGAACAAATCATAAACATCACACTTATAATCCCAGTAGCTAGGTAGGGCGAGGCAGGAAGATCCTAAGTTCAAAGGCGATATGGTGGCTCAGTGGTTAAGCACCCTAGATTCAACTCCTGGTACAAAAAAACAAAACAAAACGAAAAAAAAACTGAGTCAATATAATATGTATATCTTACTGTGGGGGAAGAATGTTTGATCAAATCTAGTCTAGGATGTATACCTAGAAGTAAGACTGTGAGCTGTAAGAGTATGAATTTTCAGCTTTCACTAGATCTGACCAAATTGCTTTTCAGTGTGGTTCAAAGTATAAACTACCAGCAATTCAAATGCTCTATTTGTACAAATCCTCATCAATGCTTGATAATAAGCTTAACATCCTAATGAAGTATCATGAGCAGTTCCGAAAAAGTTTACAAGATAGTGGATAGAAATCTAGGTCCAGAAGGAAGGGAAGAAAATAAGCTGGGACCAAAATAAATGGCTGGGTCTTAATTAAGAAAGTTCTATCAGCCAGAAACAATAGAAGGCAATAACAATACCAATAGAAGGCAAAGGAACTGAAAAAAAAATTGAGAGCAGGGAAAATTTCTGGAAACATTTATTATTCCAACTCATACCTGAAATAATGAATAATTATAAGAACTTCTCAGTTCTTTTTGCTCTTTCTTATTATTAGTAATAATACACAAAAAGTATAATCAAATACTTCATTCATGTTTTTAGTTCTATGAAAAGATATATTACTAGTTGGGTGTGGTCGTAATCCCAGCTACTTGGGAGGATGAGGCAAAAGGATTACAAGTACAAGGCTAGCCTCAGCAACATAGTGAGACCCCCATTAAAAAAAAAAAAAAAAGTATCACTAACTACAAAGGTATATCACTTCATATCCACTACAATGACATAATGGTGCATAACAGTAGTCCCAGCTACTTAAAAGGCTGAGGATGGAAGATTGCTGAAGCTCATAAGATGAAACCAGTCTAGAATGAGGCCCTGTCTCTAAACAAACAAATAAACAAAAATTAAAAATATAATTACCATATGATCCAGCAATTCTACTTCTAGGTATATACAAAATAAACTAAAAAGGGAACTCAAATTTGTATTTGTATATTCATGTTCACAAAAGGTGGAAACAGCCCACTGCCCAATCACAATGAATAGATAAACAAAACAAAATGTGGTGTGTAATATAACAGAGTATTATTCAGATCTAAAAAGAGAAAATTCTGACATATGCTACAACATGGATGAATCTTAAATACAGTATTCTAAGTGACAAAGCCAGTAATAACATAAAAATTACTATATTAATCTATTTATATAAAGTGCTTATGAGTAGTCAAATTCACAGAAATAAAAACTAAAATGGTGGCTGCTGTTGTCTAGACATAGGAGAAAAATAGGAAATTACTGTTTCATAGGTAAAGGATTTCACTTTAGAAAGATAAAAAAAATTCAAGAGATGGATGTTGGTGATTGCTGTACTACAATGTGAATATAGCGAATGCCACTTCAAAATAGTTAAAATGGGTCAGATGTGGAGGTGCATGCCTACAATCCCAGATATTCGAGAGGCTGAGCCAGGAAGATCTCAAGTTTCAAGACCAGCCTGGACAACTTAGTGAGACTCTTGTTTCAAAATAAAAAAACCTGGGGGTATAGTTCAGTGATAGAACATTTGCCTAGTATGTGCAAAGCCCTGGGGTTCAATCCCTAATACTGTCAAAAAAGTTAAAATAGTAAATTTTGTTTTTTATATATATATAATATATATACACCAACATTTATATATATATATACACATATACTATATATATATATATTTACATACACATACACACACACACTCATACATCTGTGTGTGTATAAATATACAGCGATATATAAGACAATCAGAAAATCATAAGACAAAAGTGTGTATCATGTTTACTACTGGAGGAAAGAACAAAAATTTGTGGGCTAGATGGGAGCGATGGCACACACCTGTAATCCCAGCAACTTGAAAGGCTAAGGTGGGCAGATTGTGAGTTCAAAGCCAGCCTCAGCAAAAGCGAGGTGCTAGCAACTCAGTGAGATCTTATCTCTAAATAAAATACAAAATGGAGCTGGGGATGTGGCTCAGTGGTTGAATAGCCCTGAGTTCAATTCCTAGTACCCCCTCCTCCCAAAAATATTTGTGGGCTAAAAGAGTTATGGAAACAAAGAATTTCCATATTGTTCTGTTTTCCCAATCACACTGATTCTTGAATGAATAACATTGTGTTATCAGATAAACTAGATCTTACTAAGAGAAGTTCACCATTTACTATTCAAGTAATAAAACCCTTTAGTGAGGTCATGTATATGTAATTGATCAGAAGCATAATTTACCATGAAACTTCCTCTGTAGCTCCTGTTGCATTTGCTGAGTATTTCCATTTTCAGGACGCATGAATCCCATCAGCCTCTGCTGCACTTTGGCAGTAGTACTGAAACAGAAATTACAGAATGTGTCTGTGTGTACATTGCAACTCTTTTCATATGTAACTTAGATACCATACAATCAACAATTTAAAATGTACCTATGGAATTGTACAACCATCACAAGCACTGGTTTCCACAAAAATGGAAAAGTTCTCAAATGAGAAAGAGTTCATAGAATTAAAAATTGATGACCAGGAAGAAAATTTATCATAGACTGAACAGATGCTTCTTAAAATGACTGAGATTAAATCAATTAAATGATTGAAAAAATATCAAGTAGAAATTTTCCTAATCTCGAGGGGAAAAGATCAAAGAGAAAGATAAAGAAAGAGAGAAGAGAAAGGAAGGAAATGATATAAGAGAAAAAATTGAGGCTAGATCCAGGAAAGTCAATCTTACTCTCCAAAGAGAATAGAACAAAACGTAGGACATGAGCCTCAAAAATATGTTAAGTGCTAGGCAAGATGGCACCTGCCTGCAGCAACTTGGGAGGCTGAGGCCAGCTTGGGCAACTCAGTAAGAACCTGTTTCAAAATAAGAAAGAACTGGGGATATATCTCAGTGGTAGAGCATCTTTGGGTGTAATCCCCAGTACCAACCAACCAACCAATCAAGCAACAAAAAATCCCACAAGCTACAAAAAAAAATCCAAAGTTAAAGGAGCCAGTCTCCAAAACTGCACAGTGTATGATTTCATTCCTATGAAATGTTGAAAATAAATAGATCCATATAGATGGAGTAGACTGGTAACTGGGGCTGGAGAGTGGAACATGGAATAACTGCAAACAAACAGAAGCTATCATCTCAGAGATGGAAATGTTCTAAAACTGGCCAAATGTGGTGGTGATCACCTATATCTATAATCCCAGCAACTTGGGAGGGGGCAGCAAGAGGATCACATGTTCTAGGACAGCCTCAGCAATTTATGGAGGCCCTAAACAATTCAGAGACCCTATCTCAAACAAAAAATAAAAAGGACTGGGAATGTGGCTCAGTTGTAAAGCAACTATGGGTTTAACCCCAGGTACAAAAACAAAACAAAACAAAAAAAAGAAATGTTCTAAAACTGTATTGTGGTAGTGATGGTTACACACTTCTGTACACCGAGGAAAAGTTACTGATCTGAACTTCAAAATTAGTGAATTTTATGTAAACTAGATCTCAAATCACTGCTACAAAAAATTTCCATACTGAATGAAAGTAATGTTGCACACATGATAGGGTTGGTTGAAATTAGTACGTTTTAATATAATTCTATTATTAAAGGTCAGAAAAAATTACATGATGTTATCTATAAAATGCAGGAAAGGAATTTAACAAATTTTAATACTCACTTATATAAAAATACCCAAGAAAACAGAAATGAATGGATACTTTCTTATCATTATACAAAAGGGAAAAAAGCCAGATATGGAGGGTCATAAAGCATATTCCATTTTCATAATATATTAAGAATAGGAAGGTTCATTGTGAAAGAAAGTAGATTAGTGGTTGCCAATCATGGGGAGAAAGAAATGGGGAATGATTGTAAATGACACAGAGTTTCATTATGGAATGATGAGTGTTCTGGATTGAATAGTGGTGATGATTGCATAACCTTGTGAATACACTAAAAAACTACTGAACTATATGCTTTAAAAGTATAACTTTTATGGTAGATGAATTATATCTCAAAAACAACAAAATACAATGAAAAGAAAAAAGTGAAGAAATAAATAAACCCTATTTTTTTTTCTTACTTTGGATTTCCTAATGGTCCTCCTGCAAATTGGGAATTTCTGTCTAGAAATTCCTGCAAACCTTTCAGTTCTTGTAGTACTGACTCCAGAAGCTGGCAGGGAACACTACTTTCAATCTGTAAAACCAAAGAATTTTCAAAAGTTAAATACTGGAAAAAGGTGTACTCATAAAAAGTATAAATTCTGTATAGCTATAAATGTATATATAATTTTAATTTTGAGGCATCCTATTTTTGTAAATAGTACAGCTCTTTCTTATATCATTTCACTTCTTGTTATGCTGGGAATTGAACCCAGGCCCTTGTGCACTCAAGGCAAGCACTCTACCAATTGAGCCTATCCCCAGCCCTCAATTCACTTCTTGATGACCAGAATATAGTGCAATGAAGGACACTAGTATCTCTCATCTCCTGTTAAGACTGATGTATAATTTGTGTTCAGTAAAACACAAACATTAAGTAAATATCTTGATTACTTTTTATATTTTGTGGTTGTCATCCAGATCACAGTACAGAACATTTCCAATACCCAAAATGTTTCCTACTGTTCTTTTCTGGCTCTTTGTCATCCCACCTCCAAGGTATCCTCTCTTACTTTTATCACTTTACAATAATTTTGCCTGTTATTAAACTTCGTGTACATGAGATAAATGCATTCTTATTTTCTCAGAAATGTGGGCTTTAAAAGAATATCACACAGTTGTGGCTCAGCGGTAGGGCGCTCATCTAGCATGTGCGAGGCCCTGGGTTCGATCAATCAGCACCATATGTAAATAAATAAATGAAATAAAGGCATTATGTTCAACTACAACTAAACAATAAATACTTAAAAGAATATCACAGGACTGGGGTCCTGGCTAAGTGGTAGAGTGCCTGCCTGGCATGTGTGAGGCCTCGGGTTTGATCCTCAGCACCATATATTTATATAAACAAATAAAGTAAAACAAATAAAGTAAAAAAAAAATCCATCGTCAACTAAAAAATATTTAAAAAAAAGAATATCACATTAAAGACATTTGGTACCTTTCTGTTTTAAAAAGAAAAAAAAACTTAAAACATCTGCATATTTCAGATTCTTTAAAAGAAATTTTCCTACCCAAATCTGTGATAATACAAAATTTTACCAATTGTTCCCTTAAAACAGTCTGGGATGTATTTCATGCATGAAAATTAGTACTGGGTCCTTGGAGGTATTGTACATATAAGCCAAAGCATAAAATAATAAATTCAGACAGATTTTAAATAATAGCACTGATTCTATTTACTCCTTACAACAACCTTATAAGGGAGATATATTATTAGTCTCATTTTACAGTGAGGCACAGGGCTTTGAAACATTAAGAAATTTACCCATGATCAGACAGTTTATAAATGAAGAAGCTGAGATTTCAATCAAGGGTGGATGATTTATTGAACATGAACACAAAAATCTACAGAAAAGAATAATTTATTTACAACATCAAGCAACGTGAAACAATTTAACAGTTCTTTATTGCTACCAACTGGTTATATACAAAGAGCAGGATGATAGTGTATACACTTACTGCCATGATCTCTCTGTTGCCACTCTTGAATACCCTCTCCACAACCAAGCTAGCATCCCAGATATTTCTGAAACAAAAAAATGTTTTAGGACATCATTACCTTAGGTAAGATATGACTGCACAAATGGTATGACTCTACATTGTGTACAACCAGAGCATCGAAATGTTGTGCTCTATTTGTGTACAATGAATTGAAATGCATTCTTGCTGTTACGTATAACCAACAACAACAACAAAAAAAAAAAGAGGAGAAAAAAATGTTTTAATGATTGTATTCTTTACAAATAAGAAAAATTACAATATGTAGTAAATTTCTTTTTGTGGTAATGTAATGGCTTTATTGTTTTTAAAACAATAATATATTTTTTAAAACATCATTTAATATCTTTTTTTTAAGAGACAGAGAATTTTTTTAATATTTATTTTTTAGTTTTTGGCGGACACAACATCTTTGTTTGTATGTGGTGCTGAAGATCGAACCCGGGCCGCACGCATGCCAGGTGAGCGCGCTACCGCTTGAGCCACAACCCCAGCCTAAAACAATAATATTTAACATTTACTAAGTGATCTAGAAAAATGGAAAACGGGAAATTTTCAAACCAAATACACCCATGATTTCAGATGAAATTCTTCTGCAGAGAAATCAAAAGGCTCTGGGTAACAACTTATAAATAGGGAATTTATAATTTAAAAAAAATTATAAAGCAAATGAGATGAATGAAAACATACATTACAAATCTGAAAACTATATACTAGACTTGATAGCTAATTAGATGATATGATAGACTGATTGCAAAAACAGTGGAAATTCTCACCCTATTTCTATTCCATACAGAGTATGATTTTAATACCTCTTCTCTAAGGAACTGTAGTCTGCTTCCCACTTTCTGAATCTGGGTTTGCCTTGAGACTTCCCTCTGGCCCTGGGAATAGGCTGGTTCTAAGCCTAGGCATCAGGAGCCTTGGCAACTTCTACTCTTTCTCAAGGACCCTGCTACAAACAAGTGAATAATCCTTGGCTAACCTCCTGAAAGATGAGAGACCTCATGAAGAACAATCAAGCTATATCAGTGGAGGATATTCCTGACATGCCCCTGAATGTTTGAGAGTCTAGCCAAGAAAAAGAATTCTCTTTATTCTCACAGATGAATGTACCTTCATGGGTGAGCCAAACAAACCCAGAACTGCCCAGCTGACATCTAGATACTTGTCACTGAATTATGGGGTGGTTTGTAATGTATACTATTAATATGTATATAGATATACTCTGACACTAAATACACACAGAAATAAAAACATAGTACTTAACAGACATATAATAAAAAGGCTTAGACAGATTGACAAATGAGTTAAAGTAAAATTTAATAGGAATAAATGAAGTCACAAATTTATTTAAAAATATTTCACTCTTCAAAATAGGAAAAAATACCCAGCCAGCTATTTGGGATGCTGTAGCAGGAGGATTGCAAGTTCAAGGCCACCCTCGGCAACTTAAACTTAGCAAGGCACTGTCTCAAAAAGACAGTGGTAGAATGCCCCTGGGTTCAAGGTTCAATTTCTTATATCATGAGGAAAAAACCAAAAGGACAAATGAGCAATAGTTAAGTATTCCTTGAAAACTTACCCCATTATCCGAGAAAAATAAATGCAAATACCATTGTGTTTTCCAGAGTACACAATCTCTGGGCCAGTCATACAACTCATACTTGTGGCCTGAGCAGCTGGGTTTCCCATGGCACCCACAGGAGTTGACATAGCAGGAGGCTGTATACCTTAACAAATAAAAACAAATCTCTTAGAAAAATAATCCTAAATATTCAGAATTCTCAATAACCCAAGTTTTTCGTCTCTGGACATAAAGGTAGAGATATTTATAAAAATAATCAAATAGATAGATATTTAATTTGATTTTTCTTGCTAAAACTTGGATGGATTCTCCCAGTTAGACATTCAAGTGTTGAAAATGCAGAATGAAAAGGAAAGAAAACTTGCAATCATAGCTCCTAATACTGGAAGTGAAACAAAACTATTTATACTAATTTCAGGGCCCACTTAAATCCTAATACCCAATAAGGATATTTCCAGGCACAATATTTGAGGAGCCAAATGCCAATAAATGCTTAGATGTCAAGCAACAAAATGACATCTATTAAATGACATTTTTTTTCCAAGAGAATAGGACAAGTTAATCTTTTACACAATAAAAATTAAGAACACGTTAGCTCTTCAAAAAGAATAATAATAAGTGATCCAAAAAAAGAAAAGTGGTACCTTGAGATGGTGTTCCCAAAAAGGATAGATTTGGGTAGGGACTACCACTAGGAACAGGAGAACCTAAAAAAGAATATATTTATAAATCAAAATGAGGCCCAGAAGCTATTTGTTAAGCATGAGTAAAGAATGGTACCACCTATGATATATTTGAAAATTAGGGACTATTCATTTCATTTTCTAGTAACTTCTTAATAATTCCTATTTTGGAAAACACTGACATATGAATTTCTTGATATTGAATCTTTCATTTCTTTTCCATTCAATAAATACCAAATGATATCTGTAAGTACTATTTGGTTACATCTTCTTTTCCTTCCTAAAATAAACTAAGGATTCAACATTAATATCATCATAATAAGTCATAAACTATAGACTTATCTATCAATAAAACAATGTAGCAATAAAACAATGAAAAGCTTTATTGATTAAAATAATATAGTTTCTAAAATTCATACTATTATATAATAAAGTTTCATTTCAATGTTTAATACTCACTAGAATAAACAGGAGATCCCAAGATGGGACCAACATTACTTGGAGTGGGGAGAGTAGCTGGAAATCTCATCTGTGCTTCACCTCCATACCTATTTGTATGAAAACAGAGGTTGAATTTATTCAATGATCAATCTATCTATCTATCTATGTATCTATGTATCTATCTATCTTAAAAGCTGGAATTGTTCCTACTCCTGCTTAGCTTCCAAATAAATGCTGAAGACTTTAATGCATGGTGCTGACAAGTGAATTATATTCCTAGGATACATAATAAAAACTGATTTAGTAAATGTTGACATAAAACCAGGGACTCTGATAACTTCTAATATATCACTGGCAACACACAGAGTTTACTTAGTGAGCAAATGGCACTGTAATTTTCCTAACAGATTTTGGCTATTTTTTTTTTTTTAAACCTCTTTGATGGCTGGAGTATAGAGTATAGCTCAGTAACAGAGCACTTGCCTAGCATGTCTGAGGCCCTGGGTTCAATCCTCATTACTTCAAAAAAAAGTTAATAATAAAATCTCCTTTTGGGGGGGTGGGTACTGCAGAACTAAACCCAGGGGCACTCTACCACTGAGTTAAATCCCACTCATTTTTATTTTTATACAGGGTCTTGCTTAGTGGCTTAGGGCCTTGCTAAGTTACTAAGGCTGGCCTCAAACTTGCAATTCTCCTGCGTCAGATTCTCAAGTTACTGGGATAACAGGCGAACACCACAACATCTGCCTAATAAAATCTCTTTTGATACCTAGTTTCCTTAATGTGATTCAGAACCCCATTCAGAACCAATTACACACATAAAGCAGAATTAGTAGTGTCTAAGGAAGTAAAAAAAAGATGAGGGAGTAAATGAGATACAACAGTGAAAAGACTAAACAAAAAAAGTTAGAGAACAAAATTCAGACCAAGAGTAATAATGCACAAATTAATCTAATCTATCTCATGAGCATGATAATCTTTCCAGATTTTTACCCTTTTGAAAATGAATTTTAGTAATTTCCCTATGTAGTCATTCAACTCTCTGGCGACGACTTAAACTAGTACACTGGCAAAGTGACCATTTAAAAAAGTGGCCCAGTAGGAAAAAACCTGACATACCTGAAGAAAGCTCGTGTAGCCCAAGCAGATACTTCTCTATCACAGGCAGCAGTGGAGCAAGCAAGGATAAGGCAAGTTGCACAAGCCTGGTCTTCCTGTAGGTACAAAACAAAACAAAACCCCTATATTAAACAAATTTTTTTTATTGCTGTATCTGTTGTTTCAATCTGTCCTTCGCACAAAGCAGGTGATCCATAAATAATGGCTGACTGAATGAAATCAGCTGGTATTTAAAAAGAAGCAAACACTACTCTTTTTACTTTCTTTCTTTCTTCTTTCCTTTTTTTAATACTGAGGATTAAACCCAGGGGAGCACTGCCATTGAGTCACATCCTCAGGCCTTTTTCAGTTTTTGAGACAGGGTCTTGCTAAATTGCCAAGATTGGCCTGGAACTTGTGATTTTCCTGCCTCAGTGTCCCAAGTCACTGGGATTATAGGTGTGTGCCATGGCACCCAGCTAAGAGTTCACATTTATCAAGTCCACATCATGTGCCAGGCACTATTTTAAGAGTTTGGCATATGTTAGGCCTTATTCCACATAATTTTAATAATGCATATTTTACATTAAAAAAAAATTGAAACCTAGACAATTCGAGTATCTAATCACAGTGGTGGAGCTAAGTTTTTTTTTTTTTTTTTATGGGTACCTGGGATTGAACTCAGGAATACTCGACCACTGAGCCACATAGCCAGCCCCATTTTGTATGTTATTTAGAGACAGGGTTTCACTGAGTTGTTTAGTACCTCACTTTTGCTGAAGCTGGCTTTGAACTCATGATCCTCCTGCCTCAGCCTCCCAAACTTCTGGGATTATGGGCGTGTGCCACTGTGCCCAGCAGAGCTAAGGTTTTCAATAGGTGGTTTGTATGCAGGGTCTACATACTTAATTTTTTTTCGGATACTGGGCATTTAAGCCAAGGGTGCTTTACTATTGAGATACATCCCTAACCCTTTTCATTTATGTCAGAGGCTTACTAAGTTGCTGAAGCCCTTGCTAAGTTGCTACGGCTAGCTCAAACTTGTGATTAGGACTCCTGTCAGCCTCCTGAGTCACTGGGATTACAGGTATGCACCACTGTGCCCAGCTCTACATTTAATTTTGATCCGATGTTCTTGATTTTAAACTAAGCACTACCAGTTTGAAACTTATCAATTCTAGGTGTAGCTTTGAAATACTAATGCCCCCACATTATCCCTTCAAATTTCTTCCTCAGATCATATAGTGTGGATGCATGTGCATTCAAGCACATATCAGCCAATAAACGTACTGTCTCATGTTTTTCATAAAGATTAATTATCATCTAACCTGAATATCAGACTCTTCTTTTTTTTGTGTGTGTGTGTGGGGACACCAGGGATTGAACTCAAGGGCATTCAACCACTGAGCCATATCCCCAGCCCCATTTTTGTATTTCATTTAGAGACAAGATCTCACTGCTTAGTGCCTCTCTAAATTGCTAAGGCTGGCTCTGAATTCATGATCCTCCTGTCTCAGCCTTCCCAGCCGCTGGAATTACAAGCATGCACCACCATGCTCAGCCCTGAATATCAGACAATCTTTAAGAGTACACTTTAATAAAAATTATTAAAATCAGAGAATAAAAATCTGAACAGAGTCTTATTCTACTATCAAAAGTCAGTATACCTATACATTTATAATCATCACATTAAAAAAGTATATCAATAATTACCTGATGTAACTTAAAGAATCTTTCAATCTCTTCTCCATCTCCACCCACATTGCTCACAAGTAGGTGCCTCAGTTGATCTACAGGTCTTAGTTTATGAAACATAAGACTACCCTAAGAAATTTTAAAAAGGAAGAATAAGAGTAAACAGATTTAACAACCTTGGCTGGTAGCAACTGACTCTGCTAACCTTATTAAATCAAATGAAACAACAACAAAATAACTTCAAGAATACAAAATAAACTGGTCAAAAAGATCATCTATATTTCAATTACAAACCTAAACTAGATTGAAAAAATTGGTAAAAATATAGTGCCCCACTCATGCTGCTCCCCAAAACAGAGGATTAAAAACAGATTATCCATTAATTATGTTAGCACTATGGATATCCATTTGGATAAAAATGAAGCTGGATCCAAACTCAGGTCTTATACCAGGATAAATTACAAATATATAAAAGATTTAAAGGATAAAATAAAACCATACTAACACTAGAAGAAAAACAGAAGCAACAAGATGTGAATTCTTTTATAAATCTGAGAGTAAGGAAGCTAAATATGACATAAATTCTAGAAGATCTTCATTCTGATTATTTATAAACTTGTCTTTAAGGGAAAAATCTTAATGAACAAAGTCAAATGACAAATCAGGAAAAATACATCCCTGATTCATAAATTTCAATAATCTTCATTTTTTTTTTTTTTTTACATTTCAAAAGGGCAACTCAATAGAAATATAAGAATAGTAGTCCCTCCTTATCCTCACTAGATACATTCTAAGACTCCCAGTGGATGCCTGAAACTGTGGACTATACCAGCAATATGAAACCATGACAGTTGATCTGATAACAAAGATACCTACTCAGTAACTAACATGAAGACAGTATATAACCTGGATACACTAGAGACAGGAATAATTCATATCCCATGTGGACTTAAGCCAGAAGGCACAAAATTTTATCCCGCTATTCTGAACAACATGCAATTTAAAATTTGTGAATTATGTCTGGAATTTTCTACTAATTTTCAGATTGCATTTGATTAGGAGACAATGGAAACCTGAGAAAGTGAAAATGCAGATCAGGGGCACTACTACAGAGTAGGAACAGAGTGTTCACAGAAATGTAAAAAAAGTAAAATCTTACTCTTAATAAGAAGGTATTATATAATGGGGGAGGTTATGAGGAAACAGACATTCAAATACCATTAGCAAATATATACAGGGAAATCTGTTAATATCTATTGAAACTATAAATACACACCCTCTATGACCAAGAATATACAACACTACTGCTTTACTCACACATATACAAAATTACATATGCATACAAAAAATGTAGCATTACTTTTAGGGCAAAAGATAATCCACTAATAGGGGATTGGTCAAACATGGAATATCCACATAAAGAAATAACTTTCAAATATAAAACAATGAGAAAATATTTTATATATATTAATTTGGAAAGACTTCCACGTCATATTTTTGAAATATAAAAAGCAAGGTACAGGACAGTCTATATTATATGCTACCAAGTATTTAGAAATACATTTGCATTGTTCATATATTTGTAATAAATCCCTGAAAGTATACATAGATATGAATAACACAGATACTTGGAGGAAAGGGCACTGGAGTACGAGGGGGATTTTACTATACATATTTCCTGTTCTATACCACTTGAATTCTGTCAATGCATTAATTCAAATGTTAAAAATATCAAGAAAATGTTTTTTAATTAGGTGACAAGTATAAGAAATATTTTTGGTTGTTAGTTTGAATGCTATTGGCCAAATTATATTGTTATATCATTTGCATGTATGAATATGTAACAATCTCACCATTATATACAACTATAAGGCTTCAATAACAAATGTGGGGGAAAAAAAAGGAAAGTACAACTTTTTAAAAGAGTTCTTTTGATGGTATATTTGGTATTCACAAACATTCTTTAAAATATAACCATTCCAAAGTGTTTAAGAAAATGACTCCACTAAGTAACTACTTCAGAATATTTGACAAAAACATTAAACATCATTTCTCTTTTTTGTCTGTACCACAGAGAATATGTGCATACCTGTGCTGAGAGGAGAACGAATTTCTTTGGAGGTAATATGTGTTGCTGTACAACAACTGGAGAGTCAGTTATTGGGATATGATCCTTATTTAAAGGTGTAATTATTTTATCTACTTTCAATTCATCTATTGCAGAAAGAGCCCAAGAATGACCATCAACACGGGTTGTCATCTATGTAAAACAAATACACTTTTTACAATCATATTTAAGTTATACAAACTGAAAGCTTCTGAAAATAAAATCTCTACAAAATGTCCTCAAAAGTATGTATTTAACTCTCTATTCTCCTATTCTTTTAATCAACAATCTTTTATAAAATTATCTTTTCATACTAAAGGACAAATTCAAAGTTTTCTTAAGATAAACTGTAAATTCTATTTACTAGAATTATAATTCTCTCAACAACCAAAGAAAAATTATCTTTTACCAAATCTTCAGGATAGATTAATCTATACTAGTAGATTCAGTGCTTAGTTTTGCTGATGTGTAGATTCCATTCTCTTCTGAAGTTCTATTTGTGCTTTCTAAGGTAGGATTATTTATAATAAATTTCAAGCATACAAATATGTTGGAAATAAAGGAAATGTCCATATGCTCAGTATAAAGTTCCAACGATTATTACCAATTTGCCATATTTTCTTTCTCTCTCTATCTTTTTCTATGTTATCTCTTTCTTTTATTGAACCACTGGAAAGTTATAGACATCATATGTCACCCCTAAATTCTTTCACATACAGCTTCCCAAAATAAGAATGTTCTCTTATATAGCTATGATGGCATTATAATATTTTCACATGTTAAAAATTTTCTAATATAATCCAATGCTCGGCCAATACAAAATTTCTAATTATCCCAATCTGTCTCTTCCTCTCTTTTTTCTTTTTTGGTATTGGGGATTGAATCTGGTGGTGCTCTACCACTGAGCCACATCTCCAGCCCTTTTTTATTTTGAGACAGGGAGTTGCTAAATTGCTGAGGTTGGAATTGAACTTGTGATACTCCTGCCTCAACCTCCCAAGTCACTGGGATTATAGGCATTTGCCATGGTGCCTAGACCCAATATCTCTTATAATTGTTTTTACAAAACTTAAAAATTTCATCAAAGTTCACAAACTATATTTGATGGTTGTTTTTTTCTTTTTAAATAAAAGTCCACATTTGTTTGAGAATAACTCTTGTATGACACAAATGAAATGATACCTGCCTCTTAAAAAAAAAAAAAAGTTAACATTATTGAGTGTTTCTTATCTGCCAGGTGTTTTGGGAGGTTTATGTATGTGAACTCATTTAATCCCATAATAGTTCCATAGGTAGGTAGGTATTATTATAAATATAAATTGCCAAAAACATAGAAAGTCCTATGCTGCACAGCTTAGAGGCGGTGAAGAGAGAATGCAAACCTAATCCTCCCACCCCTACCAGGACAGGTTTTACATCAGAGTTCCAAATTCTTCAATTTTATCATAGGACAAGGCTCATAGTAGATGCTTAGTAAAGTTTAAAGAATGAGAGAGAGAGAGAGAGAGAGAGAGAGAGAGAAAGGAAGGCACTTGTTACATTCTTACACATCCTCCTTCCACCTCAGTTCCTTGAATCAGGTGAGAAACTTGGTAGAGCTAATTCAAACCACACTCTCATTCCTGAGAGCTGGTATTTCCTTCTCCCACTTACACACATTTTCCCACTCCTCACAAATTAAAACGATCACATTTGAAAATTACCAGGAAATAGCCAGTGACAGCTAAAAATGAAGTCTCTGAAGAGATGGCCATAAAGGCAAAGTATCAGACATTCACACCCTGGTGGGTTTTTAAATTTTTTAAATTTTTATTTTTTTGTGGTGCTAGAGATTAAAACCAGTGCCTTGTGCATGCTAGGCAAGCACTCTACCACTGAGCTAAACCCCTAATACCCAAATGGGATTTTTAACCTGGTTTGATAAATAGGGCTGGTCAATGGGGAAAGGGTACCAAAAGGAGGAGGAGAGATGGTAGCCCCTCAGCTCATTATGGACAAGAGACTAAGATGGATGGCCCAGGTAGAACTACTGAGGCCCCTTAATCAGAATAACTATATCAACTTCATGGAAAATGTGGTTGTGTTCACAGCTAAACATTAGTATATATGAAGAAAAAAAAGGGGGGTAATAAAATGAAAAAAATGTTGGTAATTCTCTCTTATGAGGTTTAATTTGGCATTTGAAAATGTTTATAACTTAAAAAATCTAAAATTTAGGCAAAACTTCCAAGATAAAACTCTTTACGTCATAATTCCAATGGATGTCCTTATAGTTAATATATAAACAACTAAAAATATAGCACATTTAGATGGGACAAAGATAAATTCAGAAAAGATACATTCATTTATTTTTAGGTACATTTGTTTTCAATATGATTTCTAACCAGATAATATTATCAGAAGCAAATAACAACAAATCAGAAGATAAAGTTCTTTACTATATTATTCTTAACTTACTCATTATATATGTGTTAGGGGTGTGGCTCAGTGTTAAGAGAGCTTTACTAACATGTGTAGTGTCCTGAGAGATCAAACACAGGGGGAAAAGAAACACACATACACACACACCAATTTATATATATATATACACATTCATATAAATATATACACACATAAATATACAAATAAGTAGTTTCTTTAGAATTCCCTGGATAACTGGATAACTTACCTGGGTTTCCATCATTGGCTTTTGGAAAGGAAATGTATCATGGTTGACACACCATAAAACGTCATTATCCTCATTTTCTGAGGCTGCCATCAATAGAATACCTGAAAGTTTAATGTACAAAATTTTTTCATGATATCAAATAAAATGCATCCACAATAATCTTAATAATAACAATCACTAACATTAATATATGTTAATCTTTATAAGCAAACAAGTTACAAAGTAAGCAAATACAAAATCCTTGAAAGTAGGAAGAGTGGGTAAAGTGATACATGCCTGTAATCCCAGTGACTTGGGAGGCTGAGGAAGGAGGATCAAAGTTCAAGGTCAGCTTTAACAACAAAGTGAGAGTCTCAAAATAAAAAATAAAAAGGGCTGGGACGTGGCTCAGTGGTAGGGAGAGTACCCCTGGGTTCAATCCTCAGAACCATGAAAAAATAAATTAAAAAAGAAGAGCAGGTAGAATTGTTAAGTAATCTCAATCCTATACTGTATTTCTTTCAGGTAAAAATTTACTTTTTTTCATGTTATAACATCTCTGAAGTAAAATAGTTTGTAATTGGTAGTTTTATCAATAGAATTACTAACTTTATAAAAACTTAAGAGGTTAACAAATGTGCCTCTAATCAATGGTATTTAACACACAATGAAATAATTTATGCACCTGTGAATTCAAACACACCATGAATAAGAGATAAATAAGAGAGGAATGTGCTAGTGCAATGTCAGAGATAAATGTGCTCTTAAAGCAGTATCTCAGCAAACCTAGATAATATTACAGTTTGATTTTAAAATATACTCTCCTATGCTCAATTCCATACTTTCCTGCTAATTTGCTCCTTTTATACTGATTTTGTGCTGTCAGTCTTGAATCCACTGGACAGTCTTAGCTGAGGGGTCACAATTAATTTGTAAAGTATATAACTGGAAAAGTAAAACATATAATAATAAAGATGCAACAAGGGGCGGGGGGGCTGGGGTTGTGCAACATGTTCTAAATGGATCTATAGATGAAACTATTAAAATCCCACCTGCCGGGCTATGGCTCAGTGGCAGAGTACTTGCTTATTAGCATGTTTGAGGCACTGAGTTTGATTCTCAGTACCACATATCATAAATAAAATAAAGGTCCATGGACTACTAAATATATATATAAATATATATATATATATTTAAAAAAAATCCCAACTGCCTTTTTTACAGAAACTGACAGGTGTTCCTAAAATTCATATGGAAATGCAAGAAATTGAGAAAAGTCAAAAGAATCTTAAAAAAAATCAAAAGTTGCAAGAATCACAACAAATTCAAAATTAGTATAAAGCAGAAATAATCAAGACTGTATCACCAGATATATAAATGAGACAGAACTAAGTTCAGAACCCATATATTTATAGGAAACTCATTTGAGACAATGAATGGTACCAAGGCAACTCAATGATGAAAAACAGTCTTCTCCTAAAACGATTAATGGCTTGAAAAACTGAATATATACTTGCAAAAGAATGAAGTCCAACCCCTTCCTTGGGGCTGGGGGTAGAGTTCAGTGGTAAAGTACTTGCCTAGTAGGGGCCTGGGTTTGATCCCCAGCATCACACACAAAACAAATGAATCCTTCCTTATGTGACATACAGAAATTAACTCAAAACACATCAAAGACCACAATGTAAGAGTGAAACTATGGAGAAGAAAATAGGAGAAAATCTCTGTGACCCTAGATTAAGAAATAACTTCTTAGATAATGATAAGTATAATGACAAAAGAAGAAAAAAATAAATGGGACTTCATCAAAATTTAAAAAAATCTTTGAGCTGGGTACATGGTGCAAGCCTATAATCCCAGTGGCTCGGGAGGCTGAGGCAGGAGGATCAAGAGTTCAAAGCCAGCCCCAGAAACTTATCGAGGCCCTAAGCAACTTAGCAGGACCCTGACTCTAAATAAAATACAAAATAGGGCTGGAGATGTGGCTCAGTGGTCGGGTGCTCCTGAGTTCAATCCCCATATCAAAAAAAAAAAAAAAAAAGAAAGGCAGAGAGTCTGAATAGTTATTTCTCCAAATGAGACATACAGATGGGTAATAAAAATGTGAAAAGATGGCTCAACATTATCAGACATCAGGAAAAACAAATCATAATCACAATAGATAGATGCATCCAACAGGATAGAAATAAAAAGAAGACAAGTATCAGCAAGGTTGTGGTGAAGTCAGAACCATCATACAAGTGAGAATGTAAAATGGTTTATTTGCTTTGGAAAAAAGTCTCATGGTTCCTTAAATGTAAAACACATTACCATACGATTGGGCAATTCAAACCCTAGATACATACACATAAGAAATGAAAATATATGTTGATAAGGAAACTTGTACATATTTATAGTAGCAACATTCATAATAGTCAGAAATTATCAACAATACAAATGGCCACCAATTGATGAATAAAAAGTGATACATTGCCACAATAAAATATTATTCAGCAATAAAAGATGTACTGATATATCCTAAACCATGAATTAATCTGTATTATGTGAAAATCAAAGTCAATCATATATTGTATGATTCTACTTATCTGAAATTTCTAAAACAGGCAAATTATTAAAAGGGGGAACTGGAATTAGGAATAACTACTGATAGATATGGGATTTTTTCCTGGGATGATAAAAGTTCTCAAGTGAGTAGTTATGGCTGTACTATTCTTAAATAAACTAAAAATGAATGAATTCTGCCAGGTGCAGTGGTGCACATCTATAATCCCAGTAACTCAGGAGGCAGAAGGATTATAAGTTCAAGGCCAGCCTCAGCAACTTAGCAAAGCCCTAAGTAACTTAGTGAAACCCTGTCTCAAAATTAAAAGAAAAAAAAAAAAAAAAAAGGATTGGGAATGTAGCTCAGTGGTAAAATGCCCCTACAAGGAAAAAAAAAAATGAATTTTATAGTACGTGAATTATATCTCAATAAGAGCCATTACCTAAAAACGTTATAATAATACCTAATAGTGTACATTTGAAAAACTCCCATTTGCAAAGAAAAGTTTCATCTGGATGTTGAACAGTAAAATGTTGGAATAGACAGTATAATAAGCATAGAAAAGGCCTTAGAATGATTAGAAAATAAAAACAAATACATTAGAAATTTCAAAAATGAAAAAAGTAAGTTCCAATGTTCCAAGTTTTGATGTTTAGTAACAGTAGGCACAGTAACAGTAAAGTTATTCATGTTTTCCTGATGAGTCTAAAAGAAGAGAATTCAGAGAGTCTATTACACTGGGTATAATACTAATTTTGACAAGTTGAGTTCATACACAAACCCAATAACAGGCTAAAATTAAGACTAAAAAGTACCATAAAGCCTACAGTGTTTATGTACACACCCACTGAAAATGGTTAAACTATAATATTAATATAAAAAAAAGGATTCCTGGAAAAAACCTAAAGCATTCCAAACTTTACTGAAAAATTTATTAATGTTATTTTCAAATGTCTCAAAATGTCTTATAATTTTAATTTTTAAGAACGTCATCTTAAATCTGATAGTATTTCAGAACGTACCTTTACTATAAAGAGCTTTGTGTACTTTTGAAGGCTTTTCCACTGTTGAAGATGCTGAGAATCCAGGAGGTAAGCGAATGTGAACCAGTGTCAGTGTATTAGGCCGTGCTAATGGCTGTCTAAATGGACAAGTGCTGAAATATAACCTGATACCTGATGATGGGGTAAAATTATGCATCAATAACAGAAAATAAAAGAAACTAAGGTACATGTGTATTAAAGCAATTCCATATAGAAACACAGAACTGTTAAAATCATAAATTACTTTCCTCATTGATCTTGAATTATTAATTGGACCACCAGCTGAAACAGATTTCTAAGAAAATATCACTCAGAATTGAGAAATGAATCAACACATTTCATTGTGTTCAGAACAAGCCAAGAAAGCCTGTGTTCCACTTCAGGCTATGACTAAGTGTGAACAACTTTAGCTTTCAGGTCTGGTTATACTTCTAAAAAATGAATAGACAGAATCAGAAGAAACTTCTATTTTTAAAAATTCTTTATTTTATGAATATCAATATGACTTGAAAACATTTATAATCATAAATTTCCAAATCTAAAAAACATCATACTAACAGCAATAGCAGATACAAAAATTTAAAAACCTACCTGCATGTGTGACAGCCAATAACTGACAGTCCAATGATTCAGAATTTTCAATCACTGCTATCTGAACAATTGGCTTAAAAACAGAACGATCAATGGTCCTAAAAATGAGGAGAAAAAAAAACTTGTGTATTTCAAAAATGTGTCTGATTTATAAAATATAGTTTTCATCATTATATCCACACGTCTAAATATGCTAAACTAATTTAAATTAACCTCTGAGAAAAGTAATAAGACAGAAGCAAAAACTCTAGACTATGCATTATTTAAGTGAATACTGTTAGGACTAACTCTTTTCAAAGATTGGAAGAAAAAGGCTAACACCACTGGGTGAATGGTTCCTGGGGGACAAAGGGTGCTCAAATTACCATTGTAATAAAGTAAAAGGGAAAAATGAATTTTTGTAATGAAGAGATTCGTGAGTTGTGGGTTTTTTTGTTTTGTTTTGTTTTTTAAACAAAGGGAGCTCACAACAACAAGTGCTGGCGAGGATGTGGGGAAAAGGGTACACTTGTACATTGCTGGTGGGACTGCAGATCGGTGCAGCCAATTTGGAAAGCAGTATGGAGATTTCTTGGAAAGTTGGGAATGGAGCCACCATTTGACCCAGCTATTCCCCTTCTTGGTCTATTCCCTAAAGACCTAAAAAGGGCATGCTACAGGGACACTGCTACATCGATGTTCATAGCAGCACAGTTCACAATAGCAAGACTGTGGAACCAACCTAGATGCCCTTCAATAGACGAATGGATAAAAAAAATGTGGCATTTATACACAATGGAGTATTACTCTGCATTAAAAAATGACAAAATCATAGAATTTACAGGGAAATGGATGGCATTAGAGCAGATTATGCTAAGTGAAGCTAGCCAATCCCTAAAAAACAAATGCCAAATGTCTTCTTTGATATAAGGAGAGTAACTAAGAACAGAGTAGGGATGAAGAGCAGGAGAAGATGATTAACATTTAACAGGGATGAGAGGTGGGAGGGAAAGGGAGAGAGAAGGGAAATTGCATGGTAATGGAAGGAGACCCTCAGGGTTATACAGTGGAGGAGGTAGAGAGAGAGGAGGGGAGGGGAGGGGAGAGGTGGGGAGGGGGGAGGGTGGAGGACGGGAAAGGCAGCGGAGCACAACAGACACTAGTATGGCAATTTGTAAATCAATGGATGTGTAACTGATGTGATTCTGCAATCTGTGTATGGGGTGAAGGTGGGAGTTCATAACCCACTTGAATCAAAGTGTGGAATATGATATGTCAAGAAATTTGTAATGTTTTGAACAACCCACAATAAAAAATTAAAAAAAAAAAAAAAAACAAAGGGAGCTCTACCACCAAGTTATATTCCTGGCTCTTCTTTTTCTTTCTTTCTTTTTTCTTTTTTTTAACTTTTGAGACAGGGTCTAAATTGGCCAGGCTGGCCCTTAACTTGAGATATTCCTCCTCATACTAGGTCACTGGGATCACAAGTGTGTGCCACCATACCTAGATGTAATGAAGAAATTTGTAAGTTCACATCAACTGTGTAATAAGTGTCTAAAAAATTTATTACTAAAAATCTAATTGTAGGGAAAAAAGACAAAGTCAGAAATAGGTACATGATAAAGAACTTCTGTCTCTCCCTCCCAAATGTCAACATTATAAAAAAAGCAAGAAGAGAGCGCTCTATATTAAAACCACCCATGCAATTCAAAAATTCCAATTGAAGAATTTGAAAAGAACAACTACAGAAATTTGGGGACAATTTTAATATGAACCATATGATTATAGTTAAAACACAAGATATTACAAAATTACTATTAATTATCTTAGATATAGTAATTGTACTGATGGTTACATATGAGGCTTACAGAGAAGAAGGAAGCTAAAGAACCTAAGGGTGAAAGGCATTATGCCTGGAATCTACTTGCTAATGATTCATTAATAAAGAGTGAGCAAATGAGGCAAAATGTTAACAACTGGGGAATTTAGAGAGTGAGTTTATCAGTTTTTGCCATATTTTTATTTAAAATTTTCTGTGGATTTGGAAAAATTTCCAAAGAAAATTAGGGGTGGTCTCAAAGTTGACAAGGTTGGCCTCAAACTCATGATCCTCCTGCATAAGGACTCCTGAGTTGCTGGGATTATCGGCACACATCACCATATCCAACTTCCTTTAACATTTATGTTTTAGATATGTTTTGAAAGAATAATATTAGTATACTACTGCACATAAATGTGTTATTATGTCTGCCAACAAATGACATATTACCTTGCAATGTTTCCAGCAGCAGAGACAATAGCATTCTGGGAAACTGAGGCCACTCTACTCATTCCCTGTCCATCTTGGCCCAAGTCATAAACCTATGAATAAAAAAATTACTCTCACTTAAACATAATTATATACTGTATATATTTTGTTAGATAAACTTTTCCCTTTTAGGGATCCTCCAATTTTGTTACTTAATACGGTTATGGTAATGTTCATAGACTTAAAAACTCATAAAAAGAGGCCCTAAGAAGCAGTTTTAATGTTTTGTTTTTTAAAATTTTTAATCAGGGAAATGCAAACCAAAACCATACTAAGACTGCATCTCACTCCAATTAGAATGGTAATTATCAAGAATACAAACAGTAATAAATGCTGGAGAGTATTGGGGAAAAAGGTACACTTGAACATTGGTGGTGGGACTGCACCACTCTGGAAAGCAGCATGGAGATTTCTCAAAAATCTAGGAATGGAACCTCCATATGACCCAGCTATCCCACTCCTTACTATTTATCCAAAAGAATTAAAATCACCATACTATAGTAATACAGTCACCCAATGTTTACAGCAGCACAATTCATAATAGCTAATTTATGGAATTAACCCAGATGCCTATCAATGGATAAACAGATTAAGAAATTGTGGTATATATACACAATAGAGTTTTTACTCAGTCATAAAGAATAACGAAACTGGCATTTGCTGGTTAACAGATGGAAACAGAGAACATCACGCTAAGTGAAATATGCCAATATCAGAAAATCAAGGGTCAAATGTTTTCTCTTATTGTGGAAGTCAGAGTAAAATAAAGGAAAGGAGGAGAGGACTGGATATCAAGAAGATATAGTGAAAAACAGTAGAGTAGAAGAAGGAGATTGAGAGGGAAAAAGACGAGAAAGGAAAGGGGAAGTAACGCAGAATGAATTTTTAAAAAATCAAGCTATATGCATATATGAATATACCACAGGGAATTTCACCTTTATGTATAAGTAGAAAGACCAATCATAAATACTAAATAGATGAGAGTAAGATCAGTAGACTAAAGGAAGAGAATGGGGGAAGGCAGGAGAGAAGGAAGTGGGGGAACACGAACCAAAATAAAATTCCATGCATATACAAACGTATACCTATAATGCTCTAATAAAACACACATAGACACACACACACACACACACACACACACATACACACACAGAGTTAACAGAAAAAGTTAAAGTAACTAAATCTTTTCTACTCTTTAAACAGTAGCATAACATGAATACTTACCTGTATTACTCCTTTCTCTGATCGTGTATATAAGATATTTCTAGAATTATCAATTGCAATTTGAACAATAGGGTCTAAAGGCAGAAAAGAAAAGAAGAAAAAAAACCCAACAATTAACCAACTGACACAGCAGCCATGTACAACAAATTTAAATTGCTGAATTAGATAGAACTGTCCATTCAGGGGCTTTCATTTCTCTTGGTTGGGAGTTAAATCCCAGGGTATGTAAATACATAAGGACCAAATCAGGAAGCATTTAGATCAGACAACAGATGTCAAATACAATGACAAGGTAAGAACACCACAGAAAACTTACTCTAATTTTTTTTTTTTTCTTTTTTTGGCTATCGGGGATGGAACCAGGGGCACTTTACCATTTAGCTAATATTCCCAGTCCTTTATATTTTATGGTAAGGTCTCACTAAGTTGATGAGGCTGGCTTCGAACTTAAAATTGTCCTGCCTGAGCCTCCTGAGCAACTGGGCTGTGTCACCATGCCTGTCTCTAAATGAATTTTAAAGAAAACAAAATACAATTTCTACAATATTTCTTCATTCAACAATATTTAATGTTTATTATATGCTAGAAACACAGAGACTAATTTATACTATTTTTTTCAGAAAACTTCCAATTTAATAATTCACTATGTAAAGGGGACACATTATTAGGACATTTTAGTCAACAATGGATCATATATGTATAAAGTGATCCCATAAAATTATTATCACCTCATAGATGTTGCAGGCATCTTAGTTTCTATAAGTACAGTCTATGATGTTAGCACAATGACAAAATTACCTAACAAGGCATCTCTCAGAACACATCCCTAATATTAAGCAAATCATGACTAAAAATTCAGACATTTAAGGTATATTTATCTTATTTCACCAAAGCACTTAAAATCATTTCCTCTGTTTAAACCCCTCAGTTTATTAAAAACTTATATATATATTATATATTATATATATATTTTATACTTGAAATTTATTATATTAAGATGGCAAAACAGGTATTAGATGTCTGAATCAATTGATCAGTCTCTCTCACACATACACCCACACACCCACCCACACATTTTAAATGTTTAAATATGCAGAGCTACTTTGGACATGTTTTTCATGATTCTATGTGTATAAGAAATAAATAATTTGAAAATAAAACCCATTCTTTTTCTACATTTTCTAATCCCTTTCTTTTAAAACATCTTATGAACATAATAAATGCTATTTAAAGTGACCAAGTATGTTAATTAAGAATGAGGAGCTGGAATTGTGGCTTAGTAGCAGCACACGTGCCTAGCACACGTGAGATACTGGGTTTGATCCTCACATAAAAATAAATAAGGGTATTATGTCCATCCACAACATAAAAATAAATAAGGGTATCATGTCCATCTACAAGTAAAATATATATATGAAAGAATGAGAGTGCTTGCTTCAGGAGGACATATACTAAAATTGAAATGATACAGAGAACATTAGCATGGCACCTGTACAAGGATGACACGCAAATTCATGAAGCGTTCTATATTTTGGGGGAATGACAGTGGAATAAGATAGACATTATTATCCTCTATGCATGTATGACTATACTACCAATGTGACTCTACCATATTGGTGAAAGGAAGAAGTTGTGCTCCATTTGTGTACAATGTGTCAAAATGCATTATATTGTCATGCATAACTAATTAGAACAAATTAACGGGAAAAAAAAAGAGAATGACAATGTCTGAAGAAAATGTTAAGTAAACAACATTTTAAAAATTTGTTTTGGGCTGGAATTGTGGCTCAGTGGTAGAGCACTTGCCTAGCATGTATGAGGCAATGGGTTCAATACCCAGCAACACATAAAAAAACTAAATAAACAAAATAAAGGTATTGTGTCCATCTACAATTAAAAATATATATATTTTTTAAAATTTTGTTTTATTTGCCAAATTTGTTTCCTACTTACCATCTTCTGAGAATGTAAATTGTAGCAAGGAAGGAACAAGGAAAGAAAGTGAGCTCTTTGAGTGGTTTATCTTCCTACATCTTTGACTAAACCAACCTGCTTCTGCCTTAAAAGAAAAAAAAAAAGGAGACTGATAAAGGTGTGTAACTTATAACAACTGCTGATTACTCAAGTCTTCATGTACCAAGGACTGCAAATGAAGTGAGATCTGTCATTCAAACCTAACTATTGACTTTAGTCCTATAATTAAAAATATCTATCAAATAAACATTCAAGACATTATTGACAAGTCGAATGAGAAAATATAATCTAATAAAATGTGTTTTTATTAGATTATACTAGTTTTAATAAAAACACTATGTGCCAGGTGCAGTGGCACACACCTGCAATCCCAGTGGTTCAGGAGGCTGAGACAGGAGGATCACGAGTTCAAAGCCAGTCTCAGCAATGGCAGGTGCTAAGCAACTCAGCGAGACCCTGTCTCTAAATAAAGTACAAAACAGGGATGGGGATGTGGCTCAGGAGTTGAGTGTTCCTGAGTTCAATCCCCAGGACACCATCTGCCCGCCCCCGCCCCCGCCCCCACCGCCACCGCCACCGCCACCCCACCAAAAAAAGTACACTTCTTATTTACTAGAAATCACACACATAAGCACACATGCTTATATAAATACTATATATACACATATATTATTGTATGTATCATGTTCTACAAAAACATACACACTAGAGACCCTGGGTCCAATTTTTCTTATAAGAAATAGAACTAAAAAATTTTTTTGACTTTGGGAAAAGAGCTGGGTTTTACAAATACAGAGTAGAGATAGAAGACTATAGCTTTAGTTGTATGCTTGAATATTTTCCACCAGAATATTAGAAAATTAAAAGCTTATCTTTCCCTACTTCATCAAGAGGGAGGGGAAAAAACAGAATGTTTATAAGTGTCAAACTTACTTGGTATGCTACTTCATATAAACAGCCATCCTTTCCAGCCAAGAAAATTCTCCCATTATCAGTTGATGTTATTGTTAAAAGGTAAGTATTATCAGTGGGAAGAGAATATAAAGGATCTGGAAGCAACTGCATTCCGCCAGACATACTATCATTAAGAATCCCAGAACCTATTTTTTTTTTTTAAGAAAAAGTACAAGAATCAGTTTATTGGTTTAATTTTAAAATGACCTTTACATTATTTTCAAAATTGATTTTCTTATTGAATTCTTATTAATATACCCCAAAGCTTCTATAGTATACATTTTAAAATTACTATAAAGTGTGATACCAATAATTTGATAAATTCAAATAAATAGAAGCTTATATATATATATATATATATATATAAAATGTAGTAAAATATCAGGCAAAAAGCTAATCCAAATTATTAAATTTTGGCAAAGATTGTAAGGATTTGGCAGTAATAATCATTAATTTGACTCACTGGAATTCAACATTTTACCCAGATTGATTTTTAATTATTATATTAATTGACCAATGTATTGCTATTTTAAAAACCAAAATATGGATTACCATACCTGTCTGCAAATTGGCATAACTGAGTCCAAGAATTACTATATCCACGGGGGTTGCCAAAACCAAGAGGTGTCGTATATGAGGCTGAAAGATGCCTAAGGTAAGGTAGACACAGGGAAGAAATTATTTGCATGTAAGCATTTATAGAATATGGTTTTACCTTTAAAATGAGTTACTAGTTAAATAGCAAATTAAAAAATCTGAATCTAGCCGGGCATAGTGGTAAATGCCTGTAATCCCAGAAGCTCAGGGGGCTGAGGCAGAAGCCTCACAAGTTCAAACCCAGCCTCAGCAACTTAGCAAAATGTTAAACAACTCAGTGAAATCCTGTCTCTAATAAAATATAAAGAAAGGGCTGGGGATGTGGCTCGGCAGTTAACACCCCTGGGTTTGATCCCTGGTACAAAAAAAAAAAAAAAAAAAAAATCTAAATCCAGTTAATTCTGGTGTTAAAATATTACTATGCTTGATCATTTAAATCAGTAAATAGTAGTTGAAAAGAACTACCTTAGGAAACATTGAGTTCAATATTTAATGTCATTTAAAAGCAGTGTTACAATACAAAATAGTTTAGATTTATTTACCTTTGTTCATTTATTTTGCAGTACTAGTGACTGAACCAAAAGGTATACTACCACTAAGCTATATCCTCCATCCCTTTTATTTTTGACAAGGTCTTACTAAGTTGCTGAGGTCTCAAACTTGAGATCTCTTGCTTCAGCCTTCTAAGTAGCTGGGATATCAGGTGAGAGACACAATGCCCTGCTTATAACACATTTTTTGAGAGTCAAAATTATCGATAGTTTTTAGTAGCAAAGCTCATAATAGTTTAATCATCAAAGATAACACATTTGTCTCAAATTAAAGACTGCCACAATTTCAATTGTGTAAAATAGCATTCTACTTATCTGTTTTAGATGGATAATTTGTGTGTATTACAGTAGAGGGCAGAAATGGTCATTAACTTTTTAAAAAATATATACATTTTTATAACTTTATTTTTTTATATGGTGCTGAGGATCAAACCCAGTGCCTCACCCTTCTAGGCAAGCACTCTACCACTGAGCTACAGCCCCAGCCCTGTCATTGACTTTTATATGAATAAACTTTTAAATGAAGAAACAGGACATAGATAAAGACATCAGGATAAAGACTATTCAGACTCTATGTATGGGGAAATACATTTCCAATAATGCAATCAAATAAGCAATGTACAAAAATGCATGTTTCTACTTACATGAATAGTTATAATTTCAAAATGGGTGCAATCTTAAAAAATTTTTATTTAGGCCTTGCCAAGAAGTAAATTTTGCCTAATGCTATCTCTTGTTGGAGGGTGCATTCATGGATATATATTAAAGTTAAATCAAACTATTGTTTATCAGTACCCTAGATAGAAGATTTGCTATTACGAAACTGATAGTATTAAGTTACACAATGCTTTTAATTTCTCTAAGGTTTATTCTGAACTTTGTTCTTACTTCTACGGGCTGTCAAGACCAAATAAGCAAAATAAAGTTCAAAAATATATACTTTAACATTTAGAAGAAAAGAATAAGGGGCTAGGGATGTAACTCAATGATAGAGGGCAATCCCAGCACTATTAAAAAAGAGAGAAAGAGAGAGACTTACATCATGAAAGTAAATAAACAGTTAAATATTCCTAATCATTTTCTATTCATATTTCTAATTACATGTAATTCAGAATAAAACTTCAATGGTAAATTAAAATATTTTAAATGTATTATTTGGTCCTAAAACATTCATAGTCTTATGTATATACAAACATAAGTTTATCTCTTATATTTTTATTGCTTACCAGCTTTTGGTTTCACAAGTCCCACAGCAAGGATTGTCTCACTAAGTCCATCAAAATAGGCAAGGTCTCCTCTGTCAATAATCGAAGAAAAACATGTTATATGTACAAAGAAAACACAGTCTTATTTTATAGCTCTTTATTGTTGAATAAATTTAGACATAGAATATGATAAAAAAAAATAAACCAGCAAGCAAAACTAGTTCGGTCCCAAGATTTAGGGACACAGACCTGCCTAAGGCTAAGCCTGAAATGGGAAAACTCTACCACATTGCAAATCTCTCTCCAACAAGGCTTCAAACATTTATTATCATCAATCTATTGCTAAGGCAGGGGAAAGAGTGCAGAGAGGACTCTCTTAGAAGAAGGGGTTCACAGGGAAAGCCTAACGATGAGGGTAGAACAGGAATATTGAGGGAATAAAAAATCTCCAGTAACCCAACCTGCATCCTAAACCTAAGAGAATCTGGTACCTGTAGTACTCTGAGAGTAACTACAGCCACACACAAAAGCCAAATGCAGTTGTTTCCTTGTTGGAAAAAGCCAACTTTAAACTGGGCACACTTGTAATCCCAGCAGCTTGGGAGGCTAAAGCAGGAGGAGTGCAAGTTAAAAGCCAGCTGTAGCAATTTAGTGAGGTCCTTTGCAACTTAGCAAGACCCTGTCTCAAAAAAGATGGTGATGTGGTTCAGTGGTTAAGAGCCCTTGGGTTGTTCAATCCCTGGTATAAAAAAAAAAAAATCCTTCCACAATAAAGGCCTTCTTACTATACCTCAGCAAGAGAAGAGGCACATCCATTTATAAAGACAACTTCACACAGTATCTACTGTTCTTCTTTTTCTTTTTTTGGGGGGTGGTGGGGGTGGTGGTGCTAGGGATTAGAACCCAGGGCCTTGTGCATATGAAGTAAGCACTCTTCCAACAGAGCTATATCCCCAGTCCCAGTATCTACTGCTCTATGTGTGATATCTGGCTTTCAATTAAACAAATGAGGCACAAAAAGCAGGAGAAAGAAAGAAAATCCAACTGTCAAAAAACAAAGTAATCAACAGAAGCAGACAGCTATAAATCTAAAGTATCAGACAAGGGATTTAAAGTAACTATAACCAATACAATACAGGCTGTAATGGAAAATTTTCTAATGTACACAATGCATAAATGAGTAAAGTACTTCAACAGAGGGCTAAGGACGTACCTGAGTGGTAGAGTACTTGCCTAGCATGTACAAGATACTAGATTCAATCACCAGCAACACACACACACACACAAAATCAGAATTTCAGCAGAGATGAAAATTACAAGAAGCCAATGAAGTGTTAGTATTAAAAAAAAATTTTAAAGCACAGCTCAGGGCTGGGGCTGTAGCTCAGTGGCAGAATGTTTGCCTATCGAGTGTGAGGTGTGAGGCACTGGGTTCAATCCTTAGCACCACATAAATATAAATAAAAGAAAGGCATTCTGTCCATCTATAACTATTAAAAAAAAAAAAAAAAAGAAAGAAAGAAAGAAAAAAGCACAGTTCAGCAGGAGGCTGAGGCAGGAGAATCACAAGCTCAAAGCCAGCCTCAGCAACTTAGTGAAGCCCTAAGCAAATATTTACAGACAACAACTAAAAAAAATTTCAAAAGTAATGAAAAACATTAAAACAAAAGATCTAAGAAACTCAGAGAACATCAAATAAGTGCTAAGAAAAAAAAATATGATCAAGAATTTAAAGAAAGGTTCTGGTTGGACTGACAGGACTATGTAAGCAGAAGAATTGGCAATGTGTGTGGACCAGGATTCCCCATTCTCCCATGCCATGGCATTATATAGGGCCTTTTCATAACTAGCATAGCCTCTTGAAACTAAGACCCAATAATGCTAAAGTTGGGTTGGAGGAAAATTAATTGAACATGATTATTTCTATTAGTCAATGGAATTAAGACTTAAAATAGATAACTGAACAATTGAAACAAAGTGTAAAGTTTTTACAAACTTAAATTTTTTTTTGTTGTTGTTAATAGGGATTGAATCCAAGGGTGAATCACTGAGTCACATTCTCAGATCTTTGGTTTTGAACTTGTGATCCTGTGCCTCAGCCTCCTGAGTCACCAGGATTACATGCATGTGGTATCACACCCAGGGCAGAACTGAATTTTTTGGACTAAAGACTTATACTCAGTACTCAGTGCTATCGTCTCCCGGTGCTATAGACCTCCCCAAATTCATGCTAAATCTTAACTCCCATGTGGTAGTATTTCGAGTGAAGGGTGAATTCCTTTTGTATGGGATTAGTAGCTATGTAAAACAAGATTCTCAAGAGCTTTCTTTCCCCTCTTCCTTCCTTCCTTTCTTAATTAGAGCTTAATATTTATACAAAGGAGTTGGGCTCGTTTTGACAAAATCATACATGCATAGAATTTTACTTCAATCCCTGTTCTCCCCAATTTTTTCTCACTTCCTCCCTCTTGCTATTGTCCTTCCTCTACTTACTGATCTTCCTTTTGCTCATTTATTTATTTATTGGCACTTTCTACATATACATAAAGGTGAAGTTCATTGTTATATATTCATATATGCATATAATACAATTTTGTTAAATTTATTCCACATTTCCTCCCCTTACGTGTCCTCCCTCCCTCGCTCTTTGATTTTCTTCTACTACTCTATTGATATTCCCTGTATGTTTATGATATCAGATTCCCCCTACCACCTTTTTGTTTATTTTGCTCTACTTTCCACAGAGGAGAGAAAACATTCAACCCTTGATTTTTTGAGATTGGCATATTTCACTTAGAATGATGTTCTCCATTTCCATCCATTTATCAGCAAAGGCCATAATTTCATTCTTCCTTATGGCTGAGTAAAACTCCATAGTGTATATATAACACATTTTTTTGACCCATTCATCTACTGATGTCTTGCCCCCCTTTCTGTGTAAAGACAAAGGAAGATGGCTACCTATGTACTGGGAAGTGAACCCTTATCAGACACTGCATCTACTGGTGCCTTGACCTTAAATCTCCAAAAAAATATGAGAAATAAATCTGTCAATTGTAAGTTTCCCGGTATTCTGTAATAGTGACTCAAACTAAGACACAAAGGAAAGTTTGGCTATTTGTTCCATGTGGACTGGGACCACATTAACCTTATTCAGCACTTTTCCTAGCACAACAATTCAATAAATATTTGTTAAATAAATGTTAGCTGTTAATCAAAATGCAAATATTTTATTAAAGTAAAAATCTTTTTAAATAAAATGATTATTCTCACGCTGAATTATCCTGCAGTTTTTCTGCACTGGGTTTTCTCATACACATACCTAAACAAAAAGGTCTAATTCTTTAGTAAAAATAATGAATATGTTCTGGTAACAACATATAGGAACAACATTCAGGATACACAAAGAACAATCACAAGCACTCTATTGTGGCTATAACATTTCAATATAAAAATAGTTATGGAAACTTATAGTTTAAAACCTAGTTTCAATTAAGCAACAAGTTGACAAACGGTGTCAATTGTGATTCAATGACATGGGATCTTTGAACGCATTTTTTTTTCTTAATACTTTTTTAGTTGTTGATAGACCTTTATTTTATTTATTTATATGCGGTGCTGAGAATTGAACCCTGTGCCTCACACATGCCAGACAAGTGTCCTATTGTTGAGCCACAGACCCAGCAGAATGCATGTGTTTTGTTCTTAGAAGAAACATTAATTATTCAGGGGCAAGACTGAACTACAGAGGCCTTCCTATGGTTATCCCATACCTCAGTTAAGGATAATGATGAAGAAGTGGAAGCAAAACAAAATTTATTTGTAAAAGGCCAAGAGGGAGATCAATATGCTTTATTTAAGTTCAGATTGCCTTGGCCCTTCACTGAGACTTTATTATATATATTTAATTTGCACATAAAATCAAGACTACAAAATGACAACAGAACTTTTCTTTTTCCTGGTATGGGATTGAAACCAGCAATGTTTACCCACTGAGTCACATCCCCAATCCCTTTTCAAAATTTTTTATTTTGAGACAGTGTCTCACTAAGTTGCTTCGGGCCTCACTAAGTTGCTTCATCTGGCTTTGAACTTGTGATCCTCCTGCTTTAGCCTCCCAAGCTGCTGATATTACAGGAACATGCCACCACACTGGCCAAAATGTTTAAGTCACTTTAATAAGTTATCAGATGCCCACACTTCATAGAAATACTAGGAAAACAGGGGTCTTTCAAACGGTCAAATCAATTTTCAAAAAATTACCAATATACTATATTTACTACAGGTTAAGAGCTAGGAACCTAGAACCTGCTATCCAAGTGTGGTACTTAGGGTTGGGGATGTAGCTCAGTGCTAAAGGTTACCTAGCATATGCAAGGACCTCAGTTCAATCCCCAGCACTGGAAAAAAAAAAAAAAAAAGTAGTATTTAAGACTAGCAGCATCACCTGGGAGCTTGTTATAAATGAAAATTCTTGAGCCTAATTCAGAATTCCTAAAATAGAATTCATATTTTAACATCCATAATGATTGGTATGCATGTCGAGAAACACTGACCCAGATACCACATGAGAAAAGATAAACTAGGAAGTTTCTGATGAGTAGAACACTAGCTGCAATAAGCAATGAAGGTTATCTGAATTCCAGTCACACCAAAGCAAACAAAACTTTAAATACATACCCATCCTCATAGTTCCACATGAATATGTCGCTGTCAATTGTTAGCCAAGCTCTGCTGATGGCAGGAAAAACTCCCATCATGCAGTTACACTGCATATCTGATATAGTATGAATGTAAGGTAGAAAGAGTTCAATTTCATTTCTCTTCAATTTGTTTCAATAGCTTTTTTTAAAATACTTTTTTTAGTTGTAATTAGACACAATGCCTTTTTTTGTTGTTGTTATGTGGTGCTGAGGATGGAAGCCAGCACCTTCACGTGCTAGGCAAGTGCTCTACCACTGAGCCACAATCCCAGCCCCATTGTTTCAATAGCTTTTGACGTAAAGTTTACAATTAAAAAAAATCATGATATGGGAACTGGTGACATACCTGAGGGGAAAAGATCTTGACTACCATATGTGAGACCCTGGGTTCTGTTCATTTTTAATATGAAGAGCAAACTACCCATGTATTTAAATGTATTTTAAATAAAACTCTTAAATGAACTTATATGCAATACTAATTCAAACCCAAATCAAGAATTATAATATTGAGGGCTGGGGTTGTGGCTCAGTGGTAGAGTGCTCACCTAGCATGCACGAGGCACTGGGTTCGATCCTCAACACCACATAAATGTAAAATAAAGATATTGTGTCCACCTAAAACTAAAAAATAAATATTTTTTTAAAAAGAATTATAATAATGAAAACACCAATTTTAACATTTTTTCAAATAGTTAAATAAAAAGTAATAGGATACGTCCAAACTGTTCGACAAGTTCAGGTGGGAGAGGAACTCTTCGGATGGAACTGATCTCTGGAAGATTGGGTACTGATAGCAAACCAGGTCCTTGTAGAGGATAATCCATATCTGACATGCCTGAAACAGTGGGATTACCTACAAAAAAATAAAATGAAGCATTTATTTATGATAATAATGTATGCTCATCAATTGGGCATACAGAAGCATTTTAAGCTCCCCCCCACCACACACACAAAAAGAGTGTATGAGGTGTTTCTAAAAGTATAAAGAGAATAAAGGAGTCTTACCTTACATAAACTAGGAGAAATTCCAGTGTTGAGTGGGCAGTTACTATTTTCAACCCTGACACAAAGGTTATGGTTCACAAAAAAAATACAAATAATACTATTCGAGTAATATCCTACTGGGAGAAAAACCACAGATGCTCTTTAAACAGTATTCTCAGTGGGCAACCTTTCTCTTATTCTAAGACTCAGATCACTAAGAATTATTCTACTGTTTGTCTTACTGATCCTGAACATTAGAACCAACTGACAATTATCCCAAGTACCTTTTCAGGCTCTATAGAATACAATACAAAGATGTTGGGGGAGGGCTGGGGATATAGCTCAGTTGGTAGAGTGCTTGCCTTGCATGCACAAGGCCCTGGATTCAATCCCCAGCACCACCACCAAAAACAAAAAAAAATTTTTTTTAAAGATGCTGGAAGGGGCTGGGATTGTGGCTCAGTGGTAGAGCGCCTGCCTTGCACATGTGAGACACTGGGTTCAATCCTCAGCACCACATAAAAATGAATAAATAAAGATATTGTGCCCATGTATAACTAAAAAATGTCAGGAGAAGCTGACATATAAAGCATTTTTAAATGTATTATGGAAGTTAAAAAAACATTTACAATCAATTCCTATGTACTGATTATTCACCTTCAACAATTACCAATAATATGCACAATCATGTTTACGTCCACTCCTCCAATGGATTCTTTTTAAAGCCAATTCTAGACATTCCATTTAATCCAAAACAAAACAAAACACAACAGTTTTAATAGAACAGTGCACATGATAATGGAAATGAAATTCCAAAAGGTGGAATTAATACTTTTAGTGAGGATGGGAATGGTTAAGAAAGCCTTCAAAGAGACTTAAAAAAAATTTTTTTTTAAGTTGTTGATGGACACAATACTTTTATTTATTTGTTTTTTATGTGGTGCCAGGAATCGAACCCATTCTCTCTCTCACGCACGCTAGGCAAGCACTCTACCACTCTACCACTGAGCCACAACCCCAGCCCTTCAGAGATATTTTTCCAGGGAGTCTGGAAGAAGTTTGTTAGATAAAGAATGAATATGCTAGAAATTATATAGCGTATAATAAAATCCTGAAGAAAGGGCTTCTTATACAAGACATATTAAGCTCAGGGTGACTAGAGGCATGAGCAGCTCAGAAAGACATTAAGAATAGGATGCAAAAGAAGGGAAAGAGATCAAATTAAAGAGGAAAGTGTTTGTAAAGGGATCTGATATTTAAGAGGACTAGAATAGAGGGACTCTTTTTATATCTTCTTTTCAAACCTAAGGAGGCCAAGGTGAAATGACAGTTGCTAATAGGCCAATCCGACTTTACAAAACAAGCCCACTTGTAAAGGTCTGCCAGGGACAAATATTGTCTGTTTCTAACATTTCTGATTACAAGTATCTCAATTAGAGATTTTTATAAATTGTCAAAGGTATTTTTGGTTTACATTGCACATATTATCCTGGTTAAATAACCTTGGTTCTTGCTCAAAAATCTCATCTATACTTCTCTTAAACATCTCTGCTTTTCTCCAATTTCCAACTCACAAAGGACTCACTTCTTTATTTATTTATTTATTTGGTTGTAGATGGACACAATACGTTTACTTTATTTATTTATTTTTATGTGGTGCTGAGGATTGAACCCAGTGCCTCAAACATGCTAGGCAAGTGCTCTTACCACTGAACCACAACTGCAGCCCCAGGACTCACTCTTTTTATCAAATGATGGGACTCCCTAAGCCCGGTGGAGTAGGTTAGAATTTAAAAACCGTTAAACGAATAACTTGCCACTCATCTCTCTTTTGTTGACAATATACCTTGCCTTACCCTCCCTGTGTATTTACACTACCGATTTCCCTGTTCTTTTCCTTTATCACACTGGGTAGATGACACCTCCCAGCACTTACACATTACACCAACTGTACATACAGTAAAACATATCTTTGAAAGAACGTAGTAAATTTCCAAATCAACTGTTTGCTCTTTTGATTTGCTCAATTGTTAATACAAGGAATGAACAAAGATGGGACTTAGATCAGGAGTTCTTTCCCATCTGGTCTTGGTGATAAACACTTGAGGGTAGTGAGAAGATCTTTAGGGCTAGGGGTAGCTTGCTCTTCATTCTTACCCTCTCAAATATCTACAACGAAGAAACTAAGTACAGGAAAAGAACCGAAAAGAGGCTATTTGTTGTTTCTCAAAACCGCAATAAACAGCGCTCTAAACCTCAGGATGTCTTCGCTGGGACCAATTTCGGGGATAAAGACCAAGTTGGAGCCAGACGACAGCCCTTCCGGCTGAGAAAGCAGGGGCACCAAATGGACACCGATCACTCACTTGGGGCAGACACCATCAGCAGCTCAGAAAGGTCCGGGTACATGCGGTCTTCTTGCAACTGACGGTCGATAAGCCGCCCCGCATTTTCCAGAGCTTCCTGCAGGGCTGAGGCCGACGTAGAGGTCGGCATCACTGCGCCCAGCAAAGAAGACGGCATGCCGAAAATCGTAGACAACAGAGTCGACAAATAGTCAAATCCTAAGGAGAAAGCCGAGAACACCCAAGAAGCTAACTCAGTTAGGCTGCTTGGGGCGCGCGCGCCTAACGAGCTCCCGGGCGCCAGGTCATGACGCACTTCCGGTTCGTCCGGGAGGGAACTGGAAGACGCCGTGGTGGAGCTGGGCGGAGGAAACAGTTAAGGGGACGGAACCTGGGGGCGGAGCGAGGGGGCGGGAAGCTCTTTGGAGGGAACCGGGTGAAGGCCCTCCGAATGGGCTAGGGAAAAGTGGGGAGAGGTCGTCCAGGAAATAGAGGAAGGAAGGGGGAAAGGGGAAGGGGTAGGAAAGGAGTGGGAAGGGCGGGGTTGGGAGGGATAGGGAGAGGAAAGAGGGGAGGAGCCGGGGTAGTGGGGTGCGGAGGCGGGCGATCGGGCTGTTCTGGTTGCGGTGGGTGTCCTCGCGTGCGGATCCTTGGCCTCGAGCTCCCGAAATCGGAATCCAGCAACTGCTGTTATTTGAGAGTACGCGCGGGGTGGGTGGGTGTTGCGATTGGGGGGCAGATCAGTTACCTTCGTGCTCTAAACTTCCAACAATGGCTAGGAATTGGTAAATTGTTTGAGACAGATTTCTTGTGAACCATAATTTCACTGTGTTTCTCATGGACGGTGGAGTAAATTAAAATTCGTTAGGGTTTGCGTGTCTTCCTTTTGGGCTTTGTTATTGTAAAACATTAGCTGTTTAAGGAGTTATTCGCTTTGTACACGGGGGTCACTGTGTGCATTTTCTCTCCTGTTACACAGATGGAAAAGACTGTTATAATTCATCTTTTTATCCCCAGTACATAGTGCATGGATTGGTATAAAGTAGATAACCAAAAGGTCATCCAGTTCTTTTAGGACAATGAATATCTATTTTGTATCTGACATATGCCTGCTGCTGAGAATATCAAACACAACATTCCTGTTCTCAGGTGTTTCACACGAAGCTATTCAAACGCATCACTATAATTTTTCTGATTAGTGTCTAAAAACTGCAGTAGGACAATGAGAGGTGCAAAGAAAGCCGAGAAACTCCATTTCCTAAAGAAAACAAATTGGATAAATCAAGGCACCCATTTTCTTTTTTTTTTTTACTATTATTATTTTAAATATTTATTTAGTTGTAGATGAACATATAGTATATTTATTTTTATGTGGTGCAGAGGATTGAACCTAGTGCCTTACACTTTTGAGGCAAGCACTTTACCACCGAGCTACAGCCCCAGCCCCAAGGGACCCATTTTCAAAAACAGTCCTTATTGAGAATCTCACCTAAGTAAGCATCATCCAGTTCTTCATAATTTGTTTAATCAACAACTGAATTACTCTAAATGGATCATTTAACATTTGAATTACCCCCTACCCAGTACTGGAGATTGAATCCAGTGTTGTTTTTATCCCCAGTCCTGATTTTGAGATAGGGTCTCCCCAAGTTGCTGAGGCTGGCTTGGTGTTTGCAATCCTACTGCCTCAGCCTCCTGAGCTGCTGGGATTAAGGTGTGTGCCACCATGCCAGTTTGAGTTACTTGTAACTGCCTCAAAATCTTGGCTGAATTTCTGAATATCAAAAGTTCTATGACATTTATGGTCTATACACTTATAATTTGACCCTATGGAAAATATTCAGTAGTCCCCCTTATCTTGTTATGCCAGATTCGTGGGACCCCAATAGACCTCCAGGAGCTGAATCTGATGAAAGCACTCAAGAGTCTTTATTGCAAGCTGGAGCCTGAACTCACAACCATTCCTGATGCAGTGGTCCCAGGGAGTGAGTCTGGGTCCTTTGTTCAGTGAGATTTTATAGGTTTTGGGGGAATACTCTATGCGTCACTACATCACACTGCAAATCATTCCATACCTCTGGAAAATCAAACAACTCTTAACATTGATTAGCACATTCAATGGCAGGAACAAGATGGGTAGGGGTGATTGGTTAGTACAAGAAGGGGATTCTTTTGAACTGATTGGTTTAGGCCACGAGGGGTGTATGTGCTAAACTACATGGTTTCCCAACTTGTTATCAACCACCATAAACTACTTGGGGGTCATCTAGCATTCCAGGTATTCTCCCTGTCTCATCCTGATTGGAGGTTGCTAGGGGGGGTTGCTATGGGTCCTCACCTAGCCTAACTGAGGGACATCTGGCGCCTCAGACCTCTCCTGTTATTTACAGACAAACAACTCAGCAGGGTGGGTATGTGCTTAGGAGTGCTCTGTGGGTTTTTCCAAGGACAAGGGTCACGCCCCCTTCCTTAGGACAGGCCTTGAGGTAGAAGCTGCTGTTATTTATTTTTTAAAATGGAGTCATATTAGTTTCTCAACCTGATGTGATAGTTCTAAGATCCACAGTAGCTGCTTGAAACCCTGGGTAGTACCACACCCCACCCACCCACACACACTTTGTTCTTCCCTGTCCATGATAAAGTTTAGTTTATAAATTAGGCACTGTAAGAGATTAATATTAAGAGAAAAGTTGTAATAGCGTACTATCATGAAAGTTTGCACTTGGCCACTATTAAGTAAAACAAGGGTTACTTGAACACAAGTACTGTGATACCATAACAGTAGTACAGACAGAGTGGATACAGTGGACCAAGGGGTGACTCGTGTCTACAGTAGGACAGACAGTAGTTGATGTGAGATTACATCATTGCTCAAAACAGCACTCGATTTAAAAATTACAAATGTTTATTTCTGGTGTTTTCAATTTAGTTTTTTTTTTTTTTTAATCTTTGAAACCATCAATTTTATACAATTTGTGAAAAAAAAAAAGAAATTTTTCTCCCAAAGCATGGGTGAAAGAGCAAAGAACAGGGCAGGGGGAAGTGTCCCAGGGAAAAGTAGCTATGACATGTTTGGAAGTGTCCCAGGGAAAATCTATGATGGGTATCGCAGGTGGGAGCAGAGGAGACTCTTGGTGCATCTAGATGCACTCCTAGCCATCGCGACATCATACTTTCTACTTGCTATGGACACCCAAGTATTATAGTGGTCATTACCCATGTTGATAATGATTTTCATAATTGCGGTACCCGGGAGTTTGGGGAGTGCCTCACTAGAAGTGGGTGAAGCTTCCTTGGCCTGGCTCAGCCATTGGTGCTGTATTACCTGCTCTGTGGTAGGCCTCTGCATGGGGTCCATTGTCAGTAATTTCACTGATCAGGCTCTGTGCTCCCCCAGAAACATGTGGAGGAATGTTATATGTTCCTTGCGTGATCAGCTCCTTGACCTCCTTACCAGTGCTTGCCATAAATGGGTGTTTCCCTGTGAGCATAAACTAGAGAATGACTCCCAGACTCCAGATGTCAGTCAGGGGCCCCTTCCTTCCACTTGATGACTTCTGGGGCAACATAGAGGAGGGTGCTTCGGGACCTGTTCAGTTTCTTTCCAGCTGTGAATCTGGTGCTCAAGCCAAAGTCAATGAGTTTGTCATTGCTACTGGCATCCACCACCACATTCTCCAGCTTCGGGTCAAGGAGCATGACACCCTTCTCATGGCAGCTTCCAGAAGCTTTTCCTACTCTTAAGTTGTTCTTGTTGTGTGTTTTGGTCACTGTGACAAAGGAGCTAATTAGAACACAGCCATGCATCATTGTGCATAGCTTCACAAATGGATGTGTGTGTGTGTGTGTGTGCTCGCCCGCGCACAGTGCTGGGAACTGAACCAGGTCCCTGCATATGCTGGAAAAGCTCTCTTAATGTGCACATCCCATCCCTGGGGGTGGCGCTTCCTGGCCTAACCAGCTCTCAGAACTGTTACATTGAAGCTAAACTATCAACCGGGATTTTGGAGAGATAAATAACATTCAAACCACAGCATTTGATAAACAAGAGCCTAGGGAGCTGGTCTCCACTAGATATGCCCTGCGTGAGGGGAGTCCTTCAGGTTGCACTGAGGACATCAGATAGGAATTCAGGTCTTGATGAAGACAGAAAGATCCCTGGTAAAGCAAATTCATGACAATTATAAATTAGTGCTTCTTTTGTTTTCTACAAGATGTAAGAGAATAATGTATCAAAACACCCCAATTTGGGCTGGGGCTGTAGCTCAGTGGCAGAGAATAAACAAAATAAAAGGCATGCTGTCTATCTAAAACTACAAAAAAATGTTTTAAAAACACCCCGATTTTATTCTAGATATTGAATAAATACCATATATAGCACTGTAACATCAGTAACCGAAGGGGAAGGGTTGGAGAGGCACAGCAGCCACATCTGTACACTACTGAAGTCAAGTTGCTGTAGATTCACACCAGAGTGACATCTCTTTCTCACATTAAATTTAACCCCCATGGGAACTACAAAGAAATACCAATAGAGCATACCCAAAGTGAGAGGTAAGGGAATTAAAATGTTTCACTAGAATCAACTAAATAGGAGGGAAGATAATCATATAATAAAGCAAGTCATATTGAATAAAAGCTTGTGCTTCTCCTTATAAGGACACAAACCACACTGAACCAAGGGCCATGATAAACATCAAAGCCCCACACATGTCCAAACTTCTATGCTATAAGCACTTCTCCTGGCCTATGAACTATCTTAAGTGAGAACAGGGACTGGATCTTATTTAATTTTGGATGCCCTAGTACAGAACTTAACACCTAGAAGTTTTTCACTTAATGTTGGTTGATGGTTCTTTGTTGTTGTTGTTTGTTTTTGCTGATTGAGTGGGTGGATGGATGAATGGATGGACAAATAGATGGATGGACAGATAAGCAAGTAGGTGGAGGCATTGATGGATGAAAGACAGGAAGGATGAGTAGTTAGATGTATGGTTGTGATACAAGTCTGAAAAATCAGGATTGGGTCCTCATTCCTCTGGTGTTGAAGATTAAACATCCAAGAAATGCCAAGGAAAGAGTAAAAAGTAAATTTTATTTAAGAGACAGGAGATGGGGGGCACTTCTCTGGAGACCTGGAGAATAGGGGACCCAGAGCTCATGCCCTGTGGGAGTGGGGGTATCTTACCCCTTTATAGTTTTTAGGTTTCCTTTCTTCTAGTACCTGCTGACCAAAAGGCAGAAAAAGAACTGTCCAGGGGGTGATTGCTTGTGTTGAAAGTGTGATT